TATATATGTACACTATCCTCAAGATCAGATTATGTATGTTCACTATCCTCAAGATCGGATTATTATGTATACTATGCTCAAGATCAGATTATGTATGTACACTATCCTCAAGATCAGATTATATATGTACACTATCCTCAAGATCAGATTATATGTGTACACTATCCCCAAGATCAGATTATGTATGTATACTATGCTGAAGATCAGAGTATGTATGTACACTATCCTGAAGATCGGATTATTATGTCTACTAAGCTCAAGATCAGATTATGTATGTACACTATCCTCAAGATCAAATTATATATGTACACTATCCTCAAGATCAGATAATGTATGTACACTATCCTCAAGATCGGATTATTGTGTATACTATGCTCAAGATCAGATTATATATGTACACTATCCTCGAGATCAGATTGTATATGTACACTATCCTCAAGATCAGATTATATATGTACACTATCCTCAAGATCAGATTATATATGTACACTCTCCTCAAGATCGGATTATTATGTATACTATGCTCAAGATCAGATTATGCATGTACACTATCCTCAAGATCAGATTATATATGTACACTATCCTCAAGATCAGATTATGTATGTATACTATGCTGAAGATCAGATCATATATGTACACTATCCTCAAGATCAGATTATGTATGTACACTATCCTCAAGATCGGATTATATATGTACACTATCCTCAAGATCAGATTATGTATGTACACTATCCTTAAGATCGGATTATTATGTATACTATGCTGAAGATCAGATTATGTATGTACACTATTCTCAAGATCAGATTATATATGTACACTATCCTCAAGATCAGATTATATATGTACACTATCCTCAAGATCAGATTATGTATGTACACTATCCTCAAGATCGGATTATTATGTATACTATGCTGAAGATCAGATTATGTATGTACACTATCCTCAAGATCAGATTATATATGTACACTATCCTCAAGATCAGATTATATATGTACACTATCCTCAAGATCAGATTATGTATGTACACTATCCTCAAGATCGGATTATTATGTATACTATGCTGAAGATCAGATTATGAATGTACACTATAATCAAGATCAGATTATATATGTACACTATCCTCAAGATCAGATTATATATGTACACTATCCTTAAGATCAGATTATGTATGTATACTATGCTGAAGATCAGATTATATATGTACACTATCCTCAAGATCAGACTATATATGTACACTATCCTCAAGATCAGATTATATGTGTACACTATCCTCAAGATCCGATTATATATGTACACTATCCTTAAGATCCGATTATGTATGTACACTATGCTGAAGATCAGATTATATATGTACACTATCCTCAAGATCAGATTATATATGTACACTATCCTCAAGATCAGATTATGTATTTATACTATGCTGAAGATCAGATTATATATTTACACTATCCTCAAGATCAGATTATGTATGTACACTATCCTCAAGATCGGATTATTATGTACACTATCCTCAAGATCAGATTATATATGTACACTATCCTCAAGATCAGATTATGTATTTACACTATGCTCAAGATCAGATTATATATGTACACTATCCTCAAGATCAGATTATATATGTACACTATCCTTAAGATCCGATTATGTATGTACACTATGCTGAAGATCAGATTATGTATGTACACTATCCTCAAGATCAGATTATATATGTACACTATCCTCAAGATCAGATTATGTATTTATACTATGCTGAAGATCAGATTATATATGTACACTATCCTCAAGATCAGATTATGTATGTACACTATCCTCAAGATCGGATTATTATGTAAACTATCCTCAAGATCAGATTATATATGTACACTATCCTCAAGATCAGATTATATATGTACACTATCCTTAAGATCGGATTATTATGTATACTATGCTGAAGATCAGATTATGTATGTACACTATCCTCAAGATCAGATTATATATGTACACTATCCTTAAGATCAGATTATGTATGTATACTATGCTGAAGATCAGATTATATATGTACACTATCCTCAAGATCAGACTATATATGTACACTATCCTCAAGATCGGATTATGTATGTACACTATCCTCAAGATCAGATTATATATGTACACTATCCTCAAGATCAGATTATATATGTACACCATCCTCAAGATCAGATTATATATGTACACTATCCTTAAGATTGGATTATTATGTATACTATGCTGAAGATCAGATTATGTATGTACACTATCCTCAAGATCAGATTATATATGTACACTATCCTCAAGATCAGATTATTAAAGTTCACTGATGTAAAGCTGTATTTTTGTTTCTTGGATCATTCCACTTCATTTTTATACAAAGGTGTTACAAAGGTAGTTGTTGGTGCAGTCAACCATACCATATGTTGTTTTAACCCGTATGACTAGTGGGCTTACTGGATGTACCGTAATTAATTGTTATACTGAGCGTTACGTCAAAGTTAGGGACCTTTCCTTAATAAACTATTTTTGGATCAAGGGAGAAAACATTTATGAAAAATGTACCCGGCGCTTGTTATAGGCCCGGCGCTTATTTCTTAAAATCCGCTGCTTTACCCCGGCGCTTATTAGAGACCGGGTGCTTATCAGAGGAAATAGGGTAGTTGTCATCGTTCGTGTCACTAATTAGACGCCATTGTGATGTAATTGATCATATCACATTGTACATACTAACGTTACCATGAATTGTCAGTTTTCATGTTACTGACAAGAGGTCATTAGGCACATATACAGTCAACTAGATCTAAACTGGCTTGTTTTGTTTGTTGTGTAATACCGACGTCAGGAATACTAGCTCCGACTATATGACGGCAGTCTGTAAAGGAACGCGCCTGGCACAGACATTCAAATGATTGACATCATGAGCACCAGTTTCCATACTTTCTATTTCAGTGTAATTGAGTAAGCTTCAGTAAAAGGAATCTTCAAAGGACTTTGTTGAAGATGTCTGTGGTATGTGTTGCGCCAAACAGACTGAAGAATAATTATGTCCCAATAGTGTGTAGAATCAGAATTATTTAGATGCCGTTAACTGATTAAGCTGATGGGCATAGCAACCGATCATCTGGGCAGGGGTTGTGGGAACTAGGATTTTGTCGGAAATATTTATGTGCTGCACAAAATCTGATTAGAAAGACGTAGTACATACTCAGATGTTAAAGGTCACATGCAACCAAAAAATCAAACATAATTAAAACACAATTATCACTTCTTCATGACATATAATATGCATTGGTGATTATGAAAAAACAAATAAACAAAATTATAAGCGTATAATCGCAAATCAAAAGTGCAATATTTTGTACTTGGGTTTACCTCCCTCGAAACGAAGCAGCCGGGATACCGAACCCAGTCAGAGCGGGTGGGTGTGCACTCAAGTGTAACGGCTGGTTCATTAGCAGATGCCGCCTTCACGGCTCATTGTGTGTGTATATATAGAGATGTTGGGTTTTGTAAATACATGCTCTTTTTTGTGTATAACATTTTGCAATCAACAGACATCATAACATGTCATGTGTTCAAGTATCACACCTGCCTGTCTGTGTAATTACATAATGTGACAGAGACCGAACTCGGGCCATAAATCAATGCGTTTTGTTTATGGTGTATAGCCTGATTGGTGTTAAGTTCAAATTGCATGTGGTCAGTGATCGCAGTTGTGTATTGAATGTTGTCATTAGCAGACAGGCAGGCAGACACACAGGTGTCAATAAAACAAGACATTGAGTTTTGTCTGTGACAGCGACATATCTATATCACAGTTAGAAATTCTGTCAACGCTAAATAATGACATTGCTTTTAAGTAACGAACTGAGAAAGTGACTCGGTAAGAAGAACGTGTGGTGACATAGACAAATGAATTATATAAACAGTTTATTTACTGTCATAACATATAAAAAGCTCGCGCCTGTGAGATATCAACAAAACATTATGAAAATAGCTCACACCAAAGCCTTCACCGAGTATTCACCAGACATGCTGAAGATGTTGCGCGAACCTATTTCACTGCGCACGTGCTATGAGCGCAGCCCAGCTGTTGAAACCCGTATTCCCCAGAAAAGTCTGGGGAAAATTAGTGAAACGTTTGAACTCCGATTTCGCGCGTTTTTTTTTTTCATCGCGTTATTTTTTAACTTTATAAGTTGAATTTGCATTTTTGACGCTTTGTTTCGGTAAGTCCATACCGAAAGGTATCAGAATCTGCAAAGTTGTGTTTTACGTTGCATGTGACCTTTAACCAAAACACAAATTGTAGCACTCGCGGCCTGAAAACATGCATAGACTAGTGTGTTCACACACAAATATTGCATGTATCCTGTCTGTAACACAAACCCCAGTCTGTTCAAAACTGACTGCATTATATGTGTAAATTACGGGGGGATTAATATTATCCATTTAGAACTATCATAACAACGTATATATGGAAGTGATTTAAAACTTCTTTAATATTTACAAAGCGACGTTTCTGTCATTGGAATAGTTTGGAAAAAGTCGTTGGAAGGAATTTAGAAATAAAATACTGAAACTTTAAAAGTCTTTGAAATCAGTACGATCATAAAAGTGATGCGTGCGAACAAGAGATCGAGACCTTGTATAGACTGGTTCCCGTTCGTTTTAGCGACGGACTGGAACTTGGACAGCCCTGTAAATACCAGGAAACCAGTCGGATTTGGGGGTATTCTGCGCTAGCGATACACTCTTCGAAACAAAACGAGGGGACTGCAAACTGACATTTGTGACAAACTCGTGTTGTTCCGGGACAGCCGACTAGAGGTTACGGAAAGGAGCGAGTGGTGACGAACGCCTAACTGGTTCCAGCCTGGTTCCCAGTGTCTGCTGCGCTAACGCCGGGAGCCATGCTGAACTTGCCTGCGCAGTAAGCATGTTACAAGTTCGGAAGGCGAAATCCCAGTTATGTGACCCGCATGTTGCTGATATAAACAAGGAGGCGTGTCACATTTGGGTCACGAGAATATTCGTGCAATGCGGAAATACCTGGCCACGCTGTGTCCATTTCTGTAAACAAACAGCGCATGGACGCGAGTCAGTGAGTGAAAATATCTATTGCGAATTCGTTATTCCTCGTTGAAACATTTCACGGGTTCAGTAACTATAGATACGTTTCTGTAATCGACGATGGCAGCCGAAAAGAGTGACAAGATAGGGGAGAAGAATGTCTTCCTGTCACCTGAATGTCCAGTAGAGAAGGTAACAGTGTATTCCGACAGGGCGGAAGTGTGTCGTCAAATCCACACCAGTGTCGTCAAAGGTGTCAATGAGATTGTCCTCAAACAACTGCCAGCGAGCATCGACTCGGATTCTATCAGGTGAGATTAATTCTTGCTTTCGACTGACTTTCCAATTAAAGCTATAGGAACAGTTAATTATCATTTTGACTTTGGGAGTGAATTTTAAGATCACAATTTCATTTTTCGGTCTCACATGTTTCTTCATCACAGTAATTTAACCACCCGTAACGGTTATTTTGACGGCTTTTACAGTCATTGGCAGCAGGCATTGTGAAATAATGATATGCATGTATACATGCAACCATGGCAACATGTGAAACTAGTTAGAGTTGCTGTTAGTTACCACTACCAGAAAACTTAATCGAAATCTACTGATTTAAATGAATATATTTCACGTTATTTGTCACTCTATAGTGAGCTTTAGATCTGGCACATTTTAAATGTCCAACTGTTATAATTTTTAACTCATATTGTATCACAATCATAACTTTATCATCATAATGGTGACATCAATGTAGAATTAGACCTTGAAAGAGCTTGATATATAGTTATTTTTATTCTTTAGTGTTCAGGTGTGTCCACTTCATATTGCAATTGGTTTTACCTCACACTTATATGCATATGCAAGTGTAGTATAATTCTAATCATGGTGGAAAACCCATTGCTTGTGTATTGCCATGCTTTGTTTCACTCAGATTGCATACCCTGTCAAAACATTTATCTCAACCGAAACCATTTCATTCAATATTATCACTGACACCAAAGGTTTTGTGTAATACTTCAACAAGTTTGATCATTAAATTATTATTGGCAAAGTCTAGATGTAAAGTAGACTTATCAGAGATGCAGGCTACAAATAAAAGATAATATGGTGTAAGATTGCATGTGTTTGTGTTGTAGAGTCGAAGGGACAGGCCAGGCAACGATAGCCGAGGTGACATTCCAGAGGAAGCATACTACACCAGATGAGGCCGACATTTCCAGCAAGGAGAAGGAGCTGGAGACGCAGATTGCCGACTTGAAGAAGGAGAAAGATCAAATTGAAGCAAGGCAGAATGTTATGAACAAACAATGGAAACTGCTGGAAAACTTTGGGAACACTGTGTCCAAGTCCACAAAAGTAAATAGTCCTGTATCAAAACACCTCGAAAACATTTCTATCCATAACTATGCATTACGCAAAAGTATTTCAGAGTGTGGCATTTAACAAAGAAAAACATATACCATTGTTTACAAAATTGCATATGCATGACTGAGATCTGTGGCGCCATCCCATCTGGCACCATATATATGACATGACATAGATTTGACATGTTGCCCACAATAATATGTAATGGCTAACTCCCTCTTCAACAAAGGTATCTGGTTGAGAGGTGTTGATCAGCTGCGCCATTAAATGGCTAGATCCATATTGACCATGTTTACAAGGTTAAGGAGTATAAGACCTGCCCTGAAAACAGTAGAGGGAAATACAGTTATACACCTTTGCCATGTGACAAAATGCAATCAAGGTAAATAGTTGTACTACTGTTGAATGCAGTTTGTGTCTTGTGGAAGACTCTGCCAATGTTGAATGTTCTGTTAAAGTGTACTTTGTCTCAAATTTTATGTACTGTACAAAATTAGTTTTTGTTAGTATGGTATTTGTATAACACAGATATATTGGTTGTGGGGGAAATCTATGAGTTTTTTTTACGACCTTCTCACCTTCACAACCTTTATCATCTCCCACAAGTGATAACACGTAGAGGATATTATATGAGTGCCCATGTCATACTATGTTTGTGACACGGGTGCCTAAATGTTGGTATTTCCCGAGCGAGAGGGAGGGATATACCGATATTTGGCACCAGTGTCGTAATAATATATTCTATTTATTACCGAAGTTGTCAAATTGAGGAAAATAAACCCAAATCTACCTTTAAACATATGTTGAACGCAACGTCATAGAAGAAACGTGACTTCATAGCATTGTTCATGACGTCACGTCACCATGACAAAATGATATTTTACACTTGGGCATTGTATGAAAAATATGAACCCTGATATTTTTGCCTTCGTAGGTAATAAAATTTTATTCACATATCCTGTAATAAGTGCCCCAGCTAATATTCTTTAGGAACAAGCTTCAAAACTGGCTGGTAATGGAGGCCTTTATTCCTGAACCCTGTATTCCAGAACAAGAGCACCAACCTGGACACAGCCTACTTCCAAGGCGTGACAGACTTCCTCCAGATGTACAAGGACCAAGGCAGCAAACTGGAGACCACCAGGTTGGAGCTGGCAGAACAGATTGCCAAACTGGATAAAAAGATCGTAGCCGCCACCAACAACCTTTCAGAACTGAGAGCCAACAGAGGTCATCAAACAGAGTCAAGGTATGTTGGATGACTTGAGGTAAACTCAACAGTTTTGTGATGGGCGACGTGTCTTGTTGAACACGAATTTTGACATTTACATGTTGAATTATTGATGTATCATGGTGTTATTTACTGTGGAAGAGATGTTTCATGTACTTACCCTTCTTTAACCTTGTGCAGCATTTCTCATCAAATATTCCAGAAATGTCAAGATGAGATACAAAACCTGGTGGATATGTTTTTGTGGGTTTTTTATCCCTATTTACAACACCTCCTTGACTATTGATCAGTTATTTCAGACAACTTCAGGTGTTATTCAGTCTAAGTAAGCATAGGCTCAATATTAATCGTAACACTGCTTTACTGAGTCTAACAAATCCCAGTAGAAGGTCGCGTAAGCTAAATTTTGAGCGACCTATGAATGTCCAATCAAACGCAAAACGGCCGAACGGATTAAACCAATCAGACAACGGCTGCTATTTAGGGTTCAGCGGAACTTACAAAATGTTTTGGAATTTTCTCTTCCTCGGTCGCTGACACTGATCTCTCAACAAACGGAAATCCGCATCAAACACAGATATTTGACATACAGTATACACGCTTAGGGGTTTCTGATGACATGGTTACTATTAGCTTATGTTTTTGCAAGATGACGTCCTGAAATGTTGACAAAAACACTAATTTCAGCGACTGTTTACTCACTGTTGTAAATAATGGCGTCCTCCATGTGTATCACTCGGAAGCGATCGTGCGGAAAATAGCATTAAAAATCGTTCGAGTACAAATGTTTTCGAGGTAAACTCTTCAAACAGTATGTGCAAATGTTAACTTTTGTTATCTGACGCGACCTTCTACTAGGGCTGGGACGATACACTATGTCAAGATACGATACATGTTGCGATATTTTACCTGCGATACGATACGTATCACGATATATACACCTTGAAAGAATGACACAGTATTAAGATTTAAAATGATTTAATTCAAGGTATTTGTGCATAACAATAACACTATTGTAATAAACAAACAAGTAACTCTGTCATATATACTTTTGTACTTTTCTCTAGAGAAGTACTTTAACATGTTTAAGATAATACTGTTTTGAAAAAACTCGTGTATTGTTTTGTATCGATACACCAGTCGACGGTAGCTGTATCAAACATAAATGTATCGCGCTGTATTGGTGCATCAGTGAATCGTCCCAGTCCTACCTTCTACTGGGGTTTGTTAGACTCAGTGTAGCAGTGTAACAAATAATGCTGAGCCTATGTTTACTTAGACTGGGTGTTATTGTACTCACATGCTTAGACAAAACCTTTAGTCAGGTGAGCTATATTACATTGCCACCATCATATTTAAATATGAAATGAAATAGAAGCTACTTGTGAGTGCCTGAGTATGTTTTGATGCCACTGTAGACAATATTCTGGCAATTTGACACCAGGGGACTCCAGACATGGGCTCCACATACTGTATCAATGTGAAACCTCTGTGGTTAGTATTTGGTGGTTATTTTTCCAGAGAATGCACCATTGTGCTGGAGAGTGAGGGTGGACACAAGGTGTCCCTACTGGTGTCTTATGTGGTATCTCAGGCATCCTGGACACCCAGCTATGACCTACGCATGTTCACTGCTGAAGGTGTGCTTAAGGTGAGCCAATTATTTCAATTGCCTTCAATGTCATGCTAACAGATGACATCATAATGGTCTGCAAGGCATTGTGATGCTGTTCATTGATCTGAATCATAGATGCCCTGTGGTGGGTCATTTGGGTTAGACCCGTGAAGATCCGAGTTAATATTGGTCTTCAGCCTCGAATAAAGAGGCAACTAACGGCATTGGGTGGTCAGCCTCCCTGACTTGGTTGACACGTCATCGTATTCCAATTGCATAGAACTATGCTTATGATATTGATCACTTGATTGTCTGGTCCATACTTGATTATTTACAGTACACCACCATATAGCTGGAATAATGTTGAGTGCGGCGTTAAACAACAAACCAGCCAACCAAATCACTTGGGTTTGGTAGTCTATATATCATTATAGAATATAGGTAGCATACCTTGGATTATCGAGAACATTCCTGTTTCAGATCATGTACTACGGACAGATAACTCAGACAACTGGCGAGGACTGGACAGATGCTAAGTTGTTCCTATCAACTGCCAGTCCAAGTGTCGGAGGCTCGGTACCACTATTGGGCACTGCCGTGCTCAATATCGCGAGGGGGTACAGATATGGCAGAAGGTATATATGATCACAGTTTCTAATGTCTCACCATTTAGCTCACCTGACTGAAGGATAGCTCTCTTATCCTGTGAATTCTTTCTTTGATAACTACGAGGTCAGATGAAACTTTGCTAAGGTAATTTTAAGCCATGATGTTATTTGTGTCTGTGTCTCGGAGTCTAGAGAATGGATTGAAAATCAAGGAAATCAAGTCAAGAATGATTAGGCAAGTCAAGATGTCTGCAGCTCTGGCTTAAAATATATGGTTCTTCTTGCCTCCCTTTTGATATTTATTTGTTTTCTTTCATGAAGTTTATATATATTGAAATAAAGGTATCTCTAACTCTAGGACTGAATGCCAGTCTATTTTGGCTGATGTATTTTGACATTTGATCTGTAAAATTGTCGTATGCACAGCAACAAATAGTATGAATAACTTGATGTAGTGGTATGTTTTCTTGAGACAAATCACCTTCACTACCACCATTACTCCAGACATTTTGTACATCCTTTGAAAGTCCATGAAGGTCCTATTTTGTTCATGCGCGCATTAAATCATCTCTGAATGTTACACCTAGACACAGTATAGACATACCTGTCAAACTGTTGCAAATAACTCAGATTAATTAATCCTAGACTCTGGCTGAGAAATCACTAGTCTCTGTCGAACTATGATATCACTAGACTGTGGCTATCAAAGACCTCACTAGTAGTATACACAATGGTGGAATGGGACCAGGTCCTTATCCTACCTACTGCTGAGGTGCAAGCAAAATTTGATGAAAATCGGTTGAATAGTTTCTGAAATATTGACTTTTAAGTGAGCATGGGGTCGGTCGGGAAAAAGGCTCGGGTCGCCTCGGGGGTGGTTGCTCCTCCAAGCGCTGTGGGCGGATGAGTCACAGTGCGTGCGTGTGTCTCTCTCAGCTCGGTGTACGGCTGGCTGGCTGGCTACATGAAGCAGAAAAATAGGCATGCAAGACTGATAAAAAATCATGATGAGAAACTATCTTCACACGCTGGGTGATGTGTAAGGGTCTGTGTCGTGAGGTACGATCATCAACTCCTCTCTGACGAATGCTCTCGGCAGTCCGTCTTTCAAGTAGTACAAGTTCGGTTCGCCGTCTTTGATGTCGACCAGGTCGATGTTGTACGTTTTCATGGACCATATCGGATCGGTGGCACGTTTTCTGCTATCTCCCTCGTATTCGCCCGGCTGGTATAAGTACCTAACGCTGACACAGTCCGGTAATGTTTTCTCTATTTTATCCTCACAAGCTGCTGCCAATGACAATTCAACAGATTTCATTTTGATGGCTTCGATGGGTCTTTTGCCACACGTGTCTGGTGACTTTGTTGTTGATGACATCCACCACTCGTGGCAATCATACAACCCATTCTGTGGTTCTGTTTCCGGGATCGATTAAATCCTGCGAGTATTGGTGTGAGAACAGGTGTTCGGCTAGGGTGCGATTGAATTTCTCAACGGTGGCTTGGCTACGGTGAGCTCCCGCTATACCTCGTCTCACCTGGACTTTCTGCTTGGCCAGCAGTTGTGACACGGCTCCCATGAACTGGCATACGGGATCGACTTGCAATACGGCAGGCCAGGTCAAGCGACTGCGTTTGTATATGCGTTCAAAGGCTTTGGCGACTTCGTTCGAATCTTTGGTTTACAATGGTTTGGCTTCCTTGTAGCAACTGGCGATGTCTACGACTTTCAGGGCGTACTTGTAGGTTTTGTGCCTCACCCTGTCGTGAGGGAGAAACAGGAGTTTGGCTTGATGAACGCGATTTGGCGTTGAAATGTCGAATTTTCTTCTCGGGATGTATCGAGGCGCCGGCAGGTAGACTTGCCAGATGGCTTGTTTTTTAAGCCAGGCTTTGGCTTTCTCTTCCGAGACTCAAGCTGCTTTGGCGAGTTTCGGGATGGCGTCCGCGTCAACGGGCCTGTTGAATTTGATGTGGCTTTGTTCATGTGTAGCAGTGCCAAGTCATCGTCGAATATTTTGCTCCGGTTGACCGCCGGGCTGGCTATGAGTTTCGTGAGTTTTGCTTCCTCACTGGATCTGACCAGCTTCACGTTAACGCATTTTCTCAAATTCTCCATTGTCTTGCCGAACACTGCGTTGTTCATGACTTTGTACAGTTTATTTCCGAAATCGCTTGTGGCCAGCTTTTGCAAGTTCGTGTTCATTCGGATGTAAGACTCCATCCAAGGACTTTGATCGAACTCAAACGCCCTGTGTATTTTCGTGAGTTTCATTCCCAGCGACGTGTACAGCTGCAAGTTGCGATAGTGAACGATGTATTTCGTTTTATTCATCGAGATTTTCAACGTTGACCAGCAGCTTATTTTTTCCCAGCAAATTGTGTAATTCTCGGGGGTACTCTTAGCCCTCTTCGAGCACATAGCCTTTGTTCGAATCCATCTCGATGCTATTCACATCGATAATCTCGGGCGAGGAGACCTATTCGAATCCCCCAGTGGGGAGATACTGACTCATGGCCCAGCCGTACAGGTTGTTGGCGTCGAGATAGAGGATGTTTTGGTTGGTTTGCTGGGGTTGTGACCTTCCACGTACTTGTTGTTGGCTTTGGCGTATCGTTTGGAGACCATAGAAATTCCGCCTTGCAAGCCTTTCTTCATGAACAGGTGCTTGGTCGTAATCCGTTAGCAGCTTCAGCTCCACGCCGGTCTTCTTCAACAAGGCTCCCAAGAGAGACCGGGTCAGAAGAGAGATACCACGCGGGATCCAAGCCGTACTGTTTCGAGGACATTTTTCTGACTATCTCGTACACGTCGGCCAACAGGAGCACGTCCGTTTTCAAGTACAGGTCGTGGTAATCGCCCAGAGTCTTTCAGCCCAGTTTGTCCCACACGTTAATCGCGTGCGAGTAATCGTCCGGGTGATGGACGAGTTGGTCAAGTTGCTGTAAAAGCGATTGATGGGAGGCAATCGCGTCTCGTTGAACCTGGACCAGCTGTCCATGTATTCGCAGGGGTAGACTCCCTTCCTTAGCAGCAGAGGTCGAGTCTCGGCATCGGTGTATTGATTGGTGATGTTGAAGTCGGCCGAGTCGTTCGCGTTGACAAGACAGTCAAGAGATGACATCAGAAACTGAACGCTCTCTATGAAATTCAGACCGTCCAAGGAGAAGGAGATGTATTATTCCATGTTGTTGGGGATTCACCTTATTTTGCTGTCGACCTTTGCGATGGCCTGCATGATCAAGTGGGATTCGTACCCGTGAAGGTTGTGAAACACGATGAGGATTTTGATGGTGTTGGGACCGATTTTGAGCTTCAGGTTGCACATGTTGTGAGTGTCACCTCTGTACTTGTTGGTGATGTGGCAGTGATCTCTCACAACATCCCCGTTCAGGGGTTGGTTGCACACGTGGTAATTCTTAGCTTTCTTATGAGTTCGCCAGTCGTCTTTGGGTCATGCTCATGGGGACAACAGTGTACAGCTTTTTCCTGATGATTTTCTCTTCGTTTTGCAAACGTGTGAGAAATCGTTCGGCCGTGTCGGGACATCGGTGGACCACAGGAGCCTTCGTTTTTCCGTCGCATCAAAAGACCATGTGAACGAACCCGCAGGCTTCATGCTCTTGAGTTTAGTGTGTGAAACTTTTGTCCGGGAACGGAGCGACGGTGTCGGCGTTTTTGATGAGGGCTTCGAAGTCGTCGTAGATCATGTAAGGCATGGACATTTGATGCTTGTGGTTGACGAATTTCAAGACGTCATTTTCGTTGGGCATGTCGATTCAGACAGCCGTCTGTCCCACGCCTCGGCAATCCTCCAGGTGCGATACCAGCAGGTCAGCTCACGTTAAGCCGTGGAGGCAGTGTTGTGTTTTTCCCCGGCGTGCTTCGATTGATCGTACAACAGTCTGCTGAGACTTTTAATCTGTGGCGGTAGTCAACTGATACATGACGAACTAAACCTGCGAGATTACGGCAGTGCACGACCCAAAGAACTTCCGCCGAAGGTCGCCCGAGATCTGCAAAACGGACGGACCGAACTCGGTGGTCAGAGAGAAATGACCCAGCGCACCAAAGAACCGTCAGAGGAAATTGAAAAAATATTGGCCACGTATTCGAACGAACCCTTGCCCGGTTACGAATTTCCTCTTAGGGAACTTTGGGGTCTAGACGAAGCCTTGAAAAGCGTGCGCGGAGAACACGTGAACAACATGGGCAAACTAAACAAAATCGACGAGCACATCGCTTCGAGAAAAGATAACCCAGGATCATGGACAACGACGAAGCCATGAAAAAATCATCGAGAAAAGTTTGCGCGACCTGGAAGACGAGAGAAGGACCCGATTGAGAGCTGCTTCCTCCAACCGGGAAGCCCTCCAATTACAAATCAGCCGCATGCACCAAACCATCTACCGAGTCTTGAACGGGATAAAGGATTCACCATCGCCAGCGTTCTGACGGCTTTGGGCTTCATCATATGCACCCTGGTCGTATCGCTGAAGGGGGGTGGTGGTACACCACCAAGCCTAACACCAACAAGCCCATCATCAGGTGACGACGTCAGAGACTAGATAAAAAAGCATTTGAAATCTCTCGGCGAGGCCCTGGCTAAACTGGCTGGCAAAGCCGCCGAAGCGCTGCCTGGCATCTTGGGCAGCATCGTTTCCTGGTTGCTAGGATTCTTGTCGAAAACGGTCACGTTGCTCGTACAAAACTTGTGGGCTTTCGATCGCCGGATATCGATGTTGTAGCCCACCACTCTGTTCACCCTCAGTTGCATGTCGCTAAGAGCCATGTACAATCCCGTGCTGATAAACATAGTCGTCTTTCGAACGGGCGTATTTCAGCTCGTTTTCATAGCGTTCGATGGCACTTGGTAGATCGAACGGTCTAGCAATGGCATCCTCGACATTAGCCACGAACTGTGCGTCGTAAGCCGTCCCTTCATGACCCAGGATGCTGGAACGCTTTTGCGTCTGAGCGCCCAGCACGGCCCACACGTATGTTCGAATCGAATCGTTCAATGTGACGACACCGGCACGAGTAAACCAGCATGTCAATCATGAACAATCGTCCAAATGCGGTAATCCTTGCTGTCGTTGAAAGCCATGTAATCGTTGTTCCACTCGTTCGTCGTGCCGTAATGATACAACTTGTAACCCCAATCTTTCACCAGCTGTTTGCTGGCTTCCACGAGAGACATGTTGTGAACGATGGGAATTCCCAAACCTTGGTTTGGACCTGGCAAACGCCAATCAACCGTCTTCGAATCTAGTTGGAATTGACCGCAAACGCGTTCATACGCACATCGATCGTATGGATTGTTTACGGCATTCCTGTGGAATCAGGCGCTGATTTCTTTCAGGATACGTCTGATCTGGTAGTACATGTGAATCGAGAATACAGACCGACTCAGTTCATTGCGACGAGTGTCGTTCAACGTCACGCCGCACCTGGTCGTCGCGCACCACACGGCGAAATTAAATAGATTCTGCCAGAACTGCATTGGGTTGTTAAACCATGCGTGTACCCTTTTCACATTCGTGACCGAAAACCCGTAATTTTTAAACACTTTGATGATCCGAACTATGAAATGTAAACCATCCTTTGCATTGACCACAATGGACGCGTGAGATCGGTAGCACTTATATTATCACTTTTAGAATAAAACACTCCTGGTTTGTACATATAGAATTGTTATATATTTAATTTTAGTATACATATCTACTTTTCAATATGTACGTGACGCTTCCAGGAATAACGAGCGGCGAGTCCGTTCAACTGCTGCACGCGATCGATAACATATCGGGTCAGCTCGAAGTCACGCTCAGCGATATCACCTACTACCCACGATGGACCAACATCAACAACAGAAACAACAGACTATTCGTCAATAACTCCACAACCAAATAACAGACAGCGTGTGCTCACTAAACGAAGAAATCTTCAAACCTGTGGGAGCCGAACTCAAAATAACGACTCGAACGGCACGGTCATGTTAGCCAACAACGGAAAAAAACGAGTTGACTCTCAGTCGGCCGTTGGCTAAAACGCTCAGGTTTACGTCGAACGACATACCACTGGAAAACGTACAACATCGACCTGGTCGACAAGACGATGAACCGAACTTTTTATACTTGAAAGACGGACTGCCGAGAGCATTCGTCAGAGAGGAGTTGATGATCGTACCTCACGACACAGACCCTTACACATCACCCAGCGTGTGAAGATAGTTTCTCGTCATGATTTTTAATCAGTCTTGCATGCCTATTATTCTGCTTCATGTAGCCAGCCAGCCACCCATACATCGAGCCGAAAGAGACACATGCACACACTGCGACTCATCCACCCACAGTGCTCGGAGGAGCAACCACCCCCGAGGCGACCCGAGCCATTTTCCCGACCGACCCCATGCTCACTTAAAAGTCAATATTTCATAAAAAAATATTCAACCGATTTTCATCAAATTTTGCTTGCACCTCAGTAGTAGGTAGGATAAGGACCTGGTCCTGTTCCACCATTGTGTATACTACTTCACTAGACCTGTATAAATTAGATATCACTAGCCTCAAGGTTGCCAAGATCTCTTGGGACTTAGATATCAGTAGAATATGGCAAGGATCTCCCCAGACCGTGTTAAACTATGGTATGAGTACACCTTGGTGATATCCCTGGGCTGACTACGAGAGTACAAGCACATTGTAAACACTGCTATATGTGACATTGACATGCATGTGTTGAACATGTCAAAAAGGTGGAGAAAGAGTACTGGCTCAAAGATGGCTTGAAAGGAGCAAACAGTTAATCCAGTTGTCATTCGTCTGGACACTGATGACTCCTCTGTGGAAGAATCGAGTGAACTTGATGACGTTTAATTCTGTTATTATATTTACAGATTATAATAGTATCCAGACAGATATGCTCAAAGAAATATAACTTATTTTAACAATGACAGCACTGACTAATTCCAACGACTTATAGTGTAACATGAAACACTCATTTCACATAAAATTATCATGAAAATATAAATATTAACTATCTATATGCTTAAAGCTATTAGAAATGCATTGCTTAATTTGGAATGTGAACGACATCAAAACATAACACTTTTGTCTTCATTCTATCTTTTCTTCAATGAGTGTACATGATTTTGTGTGCTTGTGTCCGAGGGAAACGGGGCTTTAACAGTTGTTGAGTTCTAACCATAGGTGGTCCGATTAATGATTTAGTGTAAATATACTTTCTGTGTTCTGCATAAACAAAATATGCCATTAACATTACAAATTTAAAGATTTTAACCCGCAGAATAATTCTCACTAATGTGTTTTGTGGTTAATGTTGAACAACTCAGAGAAACAAACTCCGTATGATGGTTAACAGTTGGCACCCACCTTACCCTATTCACGACCTGTGACACCTCTTCATACCTGTCAGATTCTTTAATACAAATGCATAAAATCGGTGATTTACAATGTGATTAGGTTGTCAGACAAAACATCCACTTGCACAGTTTGAGATCGATTTGGATCATTGGATGAAGAGATATTTACAAAAAAACGGGTCCACATGCATTTCATGCCAAACTATAGACCACAAGACCAGTGAGTGGACAATAATAAGTGGTCCTGAAATACACAATGCCATTTAGAAAGTAGTCAAATGTAACATATGTTATATTTAGGATTACACTTTCTTAGTAAAGTACAGATTCTAGTACTTTTTGAGTTGAGCCCCAAACTAAAAAAGTACTAGAATCTGTACTTTACTAAGAAAGTGTAATCCTAAATATAACATACTAGTATGTTACATTAGTGGTCCTCTTTGTACTTCACTGGTCCAAGGGGCGGTGGGGTAGCCTAGTGGTTAAAGCGTTGGCTCGTCACGCCGAAGACCCGGGTTCGAATCCCCACATGGGTACAATGTGTGAAGCCCATTTCTGGTGTCCCCCGCCGTGATGTTGCTGGAATATTGCTAAAAGCGGCGTAAAACCAAACTCAGTCAGTCAGTCAGTCACTGGTCCAAAATAGCATTCGTAGATTTACTTAACTATCAATACAAAATTCACTGGCCACAACGACCACTGCAAACTTATCATTTAGTGGAAATTGTACTAGCCAGGACCAGCGTACATTTCGCACATTGTAAAGGTCAAAGTAATAAACCTGAAAGATTTATGAGTCCAGCATAAAACCAAAGTCACTTACTAACATTTCACTATGACTTAGTGAGATGGGATTTAATTCACTTTTAGCATTATTCCAGCAATATCAGGTCTAAAGACAAAAGACTTTAACCACTAGGCCATCCCGCCATCCCTATACCATTCATTCAAGCAACAAGAGCAGCCTGTATCATTCTGACAGCATCTCTGCTGTACAAAATCACGACTGAGAAAATCACAATAGCTGATGCAGAAATTACTCTAGCTTCATCCGTGAAAGATCTTGGAGTGTTCATAGACCAGGACCTATCACTTGATGCTCAGATCAACCATCTTTCAAGAATCTGCTTCTTCCACCTGAGAGCTATCAGTAACATTCGTCATAACTTAACAACAGATGCAGCCCATACTCTCGTCAGGTCCCTCGTTCTATCTAGACTAGACTATTCAAACAGCATTCTGTTTGGACTCAGCTCTGCACACTTGACAAAACTCCAGAAAGTCCAAAACGTTGCAGCCCGCATTGTATCCCTAACATCTAAAAAGATCTCACATAACCCCTGTCCTAAAGTCTCTTCACTGGTTGCCCATCCAAGCCAGAATCGAATTCAAGATCTTGACCATTGTGTTCCAATGTCTACATGACCTAGCGCCTCAGTACCTCTCTGAACTCATCTCAGTGTACACACCGCCGCGACAGCTGAGATCACACCAACAGTTCCTCCTAACAACACCCCCTGTCAATCTCAAGAACTATGGTCACAGATCATTCAGCTATGCTGCTCCTTCACTGTGGAACAGTCTTCCCATAACCATCAAAACAGCAAAATCTCTTGACTTATTCAAATCTTCATTGAAGACCCATCTTTTCAGGAAATACGAATGACTTGCACAATTCCTGCAGTTGTTTTTTTAGCTGAACACACGGGGCGCCTTGAGCATACACTAGTGTGTGGAAACGGCGCCATACAAATGGACATTATTATTATTATTATTACATAAACATACAGGAGAAAGTCTTGTTTAGATTTCGGTCTCTGGCAAAAGCAAGCAGTTTCTCTCGTGGGAAGAGTTACTCGCAAGATGAATATGATGACGAAGAGTATGAGTGTGCTGCAAGTATTGAATCAACGCCTAGACTCATGGGCTACACTCAGTCAAAGGTACGTTTATACTCTCAGATTTGTTTTCTACAACCGTTATCAGGTCTTTCCGAATGAAGTCACGAGGAAGAACTTTGAATTCAGCTCCAGAGGGTAACTTGCATCTGCAATCGGAAGGACTTATAAGGGAATCGATGGAATCAGCGGATTGTTATACTCCAATGCTGTATGTTGAAACAAAGGTATCAAGGTGTTGTATTGCATGTGTGTTCAATGTAAAACAATGTTGTCTTTCGCAGTCTAAGTAAACTTAGACTCAGTATTATTCGTTACACTGCTATACTGGGTCTAACAAAACCTTGTGGAAGGTCGCGTCAGGTAACCTCTGAGCGACCTATGACCGTTTAATCAAACGCGAGACGGCCTAACGGATTTAACCAATTAGACAACAGCTACTATTTAGGGTACTGCAGGACTTACAAAATGGATTTTCTCTTCCCCGTTCGCCAAAACTGATCTCCAACAAATGAAAATTGCATAAAACACAGATATTTGCCCTGCAGTATACACTCTTTGTGGTTTCTGGTGACATGGCTATCACAGCTAATATTTCAGCAAGCTGACATGCTTGAATACTGACAAAACGCTATTTTCAGCGACTGTTTACTCACTGTTGTGGCTTGCCTCACTAGGAACCGATCGTACGGAAAATAACATTCGGAATCGTTCGGTACAAACTTTTTAGGTAAAAGTTCAAAAGGTATGTGCGAATGTCACAATGGCTTTCGCCATTTGGTAAGCTGTGTTCTGATTGGTCAATTGAAAAGGTTATCTGACGCGACCTTCCACAAGGTTATGTTAGACTCAGCATAGCAGTGTAACGAAAAATACTGAGCCTAAGTTTACTTAGACTGTTGTCTTTCCTTGCATGCTTTGAACATTTAGTTTAAGAAATATTTTCACGATATTTCAGTTTCAAGATTTGAACTCAAATCTCTGATCAGAAAACAAGCTTAAACAATCTATCTTGTTTACCTTGCTCTGTCATTAATGGATTAGGAAAATAGAAAAGATATCACTAATGAAACAAATTGTTACTTGTAGCTTTTAACTCACCTGAACATCTCCTCACTAATTAATTGACCAAATCAACTTTGATGTTCAGTATTGTCACCATGTTAACCGTGTTAAAACGTCAGATCAGTCATTTTTGTATGCTTGTAGTTGGATCTTGGATTCATCACATTCCAGTGTTTGTTACATCATTATTGTATTATCATTACACGGGCACAATAATTTTGGAGATCAGTTGTAACCGAGACAGCAACGTTTGTTACGTTGTTAATGAAGCCACATTAAGGTGAGCTGGCACATGTTTCACATGAAACAGATGCAGTGTATTTCATATGGTCTCTGGTCACAGAAAATACCAGATTTTCTGGCAAATGAAAATTAGTCTTCCAATGACAGGAGTGGTTATACAACCACCCTTTGGAACTTTGATAAACAAGCTCAAAAAAGAATAAATGTCAACAATACTATATTTTGTTTCAACATTTTTGTGTACTGGTATTTTTAATAAACAGTTTCCTTTTCAATATTTCTTTTTTCACATTTTTAATCATTTAACCCATTTCCTTATGGCTTTTCCTCATCATGATTAGTTGGACATGAATCAAAAATATTCATTTTGAAACTGGTCGTTTCTTAGGGGAGGAGGAGACATTGGGAGTGGTCTTGGGACTCAATGATGTTCTGATGACATTCCCAAATGTAGTCCCAGATGTTTCAGCAATTATTTTTTCATGGTTAGCCCTCCCATCTTTAATTTTTCCAAAGACCGCGACCCCTTGTAAGAAATGATCAGTCCCTGATGTGTCATGTCTCATACCCTTGCAGGTGACAGAATCTACCACCAGCACATCCTACGAAATTGCTCGTCAGTCCTCGATTCCGAGTGACAACCTGCCACACAAGGTGTCTGTGGGAATATTTGATGTGAAGCCCAACCTGGAATACATCACTCTCCCTAAGGTGGAACCAAGGGCATATCTCCAGGCCAAGGTCACCAACAACTCAGTGTTTACGCTGTTACCAGGTGAAACCAGCATATTCCTGGATAACAGCTTTGTTGCTAAGGTGAGGATAAAAGATCTGGTAAATTTGTTGAGCGTTACATCACACGCCAATGTAAATTACACAGCAAAGTCACACAGGGTCTTGCACAGCAAAGTAAGTCAGTCAGCAAAGTAAGTCACACAGCACAGGGTCTTGCACAGCAAAGTAAGTCACACAGCAAAGTAAGTCACACAGCACAAGGTCTTGCACAGCAAAGTAAGTCACACAGCCAAGTAGGTCGCACAGCAAAGTAATGCGCACAGCAAAGTAAGTCACACAGCAAAGTAAGTCACACAGCCCAGGGTCTTGCACAGCAAAGTAATTCGCACAGCAAAGTAAGTCACACAGCACAGGGTCTTGCACAGCAAATTAAGTCACACAGCACAGGGTATTGCACAGCAAAGTAAGTCACACAGCAAAGGGTCTTGCACAGCAAATTAAGTCACACAGCACAGGGTCTTGCACAGCTAAGTAAGTCACAGCACATGAGTAAGTCACAGCAAAGTGTTTGTTTGATTGTTTCTTGTTTTATGTTACACTCTGCAATATTCCAGCTAATTCATAATAATAATATTCACTTTTATAGCGCCATTCGAGGATGAATATCTAGCTCAAAGCGCTAACTATTTATTACCCCGGATAACCTAAGCTGCCTCTGAGGCGCTCGGAGGTTAATAGTCACATGACTTATCCCACCGGGTACCCATTTTCTGATGAGAGTTTGTAAATAATCAAGTCTGGAAAAGACTCTGAAGTAACTGAGCATCATATGACTCAAATGGGATATGATGAGTAGTAAGTCAACCAGCAGAGTGAGAGGTACAACAAAGTAGGTAACAAATCAGCTCAGTTGTAACAAGATGCAATATCTGCTTCTGTTCCAGGCTGAGATCAAGTTGGTGTCCCCTGGGGAGGAGTTCTTGTGTTCTCTGGGTGTCGATCCTGCGGTCAAGGTCACATATAAACCACTGAAGAAGTTCACGGCCTCCTCAGGCCTCATTAGCAAGACCACCAACACAACCTACGAGCAAGTGGTCGAGATCAAGAACACTCATGAATATTCTATCAATATTGTCCTGAAACTTCAGCTCCCCCGTAGTAGTGATGACAAAATCAAGGTAGGTTACACCACACCAGGCCCTTTGCTTGTGTATGATTACTGTACTATAAATACGGCCATGGATTGACTGGTTGACTGATTGTTTGCGCACAGGCTTGTTATGGACATGGCATGTTGTCCATCATCTGTCTCTCTGTCCATAAGTCCATCAGCAGCTTCAACCTTGAAATGGCTTTTGTGATCACCTTGAAACTCTTGGAGGGAGTCAAGCTATGGCAGTCTCTTATCCCGAGGGACATTTGCTTATTTTAAAGAAAATACTGCCTTATTTAAAAAGGAAACAAAATGATTCATTCAGAATGATTATTCATGCATTGTATTACTCATGCATTGTATAATTGATGCATTGTATTATTCGTGCAATGTGTTTCTGGCTGTGCATTTATTTGTGTTTTGTGTATGAGCTTATTCTTTAACGATAAAGAGGATCAATGATGGGTATGCAGTTTTTCCTGGTCTTCTTTGTGTCATAATGCACAATATGTGTAATTATTCCGCTGAAAGAAAATATGTGTTATTGTTTCTCTACAGGTGACTCTGTTGGAACCCAGTCTTGATCTGAAACACCCAGAGAAGAATACCAACCCACAGATCACCAAACAGAACCATATTGTATGGAAACTGGACCTTGCCAAACAGGTGACAAGGGAGATAACTCTCAAATACACTGTAGACCACCCACCACAAAATGAGACAAAATTGACTGAAGCATTTGAGAATGAATAAGATGACCTATGATGAACCTGAAAATTTGAATGTGTAGGTAGTGAATTATATTGCTTACATGTAAACAGGTTGACTTCATGACAGTAATATTAATTTGTAGATGATTACGTCCTCGAAATGGGAAAACTTCACGTTCAAATTGGATTCCAGATAAGTTTGAATGTAATTATTCGAATTCTGCTTTTATTACGACCTGTCAGTAAATTATCCCCTGATTATACAGAGATAATGTCAAACACATGTTGGTCCTAATATGATGAATTGAGGACTCGCACCCTCCACCAAAATTGTGGGGCAAAATTCCCCTTGAGACATACCATAAACACATGAAAAAATGCTATCAAGTGCCTCTAAATTCTCTATGTTCAAATTTAACATGTGTTACATTTGACCGCTTTCTATGTAGCATTGTGTATGCTATTCATATATTGAAATTATTATGACAATGACTGAAACATTTCTAACAAAAGGCTGTTATAAACCAAAACTTGCAAATATTTCTGTGAAGGTCATCAAATATAATTTAGTTAGAATGCATATGGCTGTCCACATATATGATGCTGCTATTTGATACATATTCTATATTTGGATTTTTATTAATGTAATGTGCCTTGCTTTTGCCATCTGCCTCAAATCAGACCTGTGATCTCTAAGATTTGATTTCTATGTGACTACTGCGAATGTCAAAAACATTAACCAACTGACTTTTCACAATGTGTACAGTAAATATGTGATGTGGTGTACTGTAGATGATTACATCGAAGGATGCAACTCTTGTTTTGTTTACACCTGTACAATTATAGTGTAATATGAATAATTACTGACCAAATGTAAGAATTCATGATGGAACGTTCTGTGTCTAAAATATGAAATAAGTCCCAGCATAACTGGAATAACAAATTGTGGTATTAATAAGTCAATAAGGACCGATTTATAGATTGTTTCAGTTACTCCAAGACCCAAGGTGTCTGGTCTTAAGGTGTGTGGATTACAAGGGTTTCATTGTACATGTTTTGTATTGTTGTCTGACTAAGATATCGAGTATTTAAGACACACTGAATGCCACATGTATGATAAGAAGATTATGTCACAAATTTTGTTGACCTTGTTTCACAAAATCTCTGAAACATATCCCTGGTTGTTGTTTACAGGTCAATCAGACATATAGTTTTACGTACAACACCTTTATATGTCATCTGGCTTAATACTCATCACTAGCTTATACTGTATGCCATTCACACCCTAATCATAGTAAAAAGTATTGAGAATATATTTTTAACTTTCAGTTTGTGCATTTGAGAAAGACTGACATTGTATTTGTTATATATTTCAATAAATATATTGTGGATCTGGTGCTACCACCAAGATTGTGCATTATCTTTCTTGACAGCTTGGATGGCTGCTCATACTGTCAACCTCAGGTTTGACTAAAAGAGTATTGGTCTCACGAACCTGTGCTTGTTGAAAGAGGCGGCAGGCTGGTGGTCATACTCCTTGAGTTGTCATGGTACCGATGCGTCCCCACAGGAGATAGTTTTGGCGAGCACCTGGTGTCATTACCATTTGACAGTGAATCATGAACACATGTTCATGAATAGTTGGAATCGTAGGGTCTAACACTTGGATAGTGGACTAACATGATAGTGAGTTTGGTCACTTTTTGAGACATCCTCTACTAGTTTGTACAGGCGAGACTTACAAATGTATGTGGCTGATGGCCCCGAACGTTTCATTCCCCTGTCATGGAATTCCCATCCAGTTTTTAGAGGCAACAGTTGTTTCTTCAGGCAAGCTACATAGCAGGATGGTTCTGTGTCTGTCCAACACAGACAGCACAAATACATCCCTTCGATTCAAACCTTCACACCAAAGCCAGGCTTAATTTGCACCAGCCCCTACAGATATAATACCAAATACTGGGGGCAGTTTTATAGTCCTATTGTTCATAAATTGTTTACTTTTGAATTGTCGAAAAGTATATTTTGAATAAACTATCTGAGTGGTGAGTCTAAAAATGGAAAGGGGATGGCTGTAGTCGCTAATGTAAGGCAACGACCGGTTTTGACGCCTTTTGTTCAGGTTTGACCAATCAGTGGATGTCTGAGTGTTAAAGCAGAGCAGTGTAAATTACGATTTCACACCTTGGTTAATGTCTTTAGTCTGATAGCATGCTATGTGGTTCACAATATCAACCACTGGTTGGTCTGGCCCTGACTATGTACAAGCCGCGGTATTCTGAATTCACTACATGTTTGTGTCAACACAGTTGCCAATGTAAATCTTACAGTGAACCTGCTTGCATGTTGTGAAAGTAATCTGACCATTGTGTAAACCCTTAGACCAACACTAGGACTCAACACCTTCCATCATATTGTGTAAACCCACAGACCAACACTACGACTCAACACCTTCCATCATATTGTGTAAACCCATAGACCAATGCTACGACTCAACACCTTCCATCATAGTTGAGGTGAGGTGAGGTGAAATTGGGTTTAACGTCGTGCTTGAGAATATTTCGCTCATATGACGACGTTCATGAGTGTGTATGGGTATGTGCGACTTCTTGTACTAGCCCAGACTTAAGCTGATTATATATAGTGCTAGCCCACTGAGATACCATGCCGCAGTGTAGCATGAATACCCCACTCAGACACATTATACTGACTCCGAGCCGACCAGTCCTTGTTGTACCCATTAATGCCGAGCGCCAGGCAGGGACCAAAAAGTACCATATCTTAACGTCTTTTGGTATGACGCGGTCGGGGATCGAACCCGCGACCTTCCACTCTCCGGGCGTACGCTCTAACCACTACACCACGGAGGTGGTCCCATAATAGTTGAATCATGCATAGCTCTAGACCTATGCTGGAACACAACGTATCTTTTCTACTGCTAAGTTTCAAATTTAACCGAACACACAGAAAACGGAGCACCTTTAGAATACAGCACCACAACTTCTCGTGAGGACAATCTCTGCCGTAGGTCACGTGTCATTAAGACAAGCAACCAGTTTGCGAGAACCCGTCGGTCGCGAACCCGCGACCTTCGGATTGTTAGCTTGACAGCTAAACGACTGAGCTACGTCCACACTGTTGCACAATGTGCAAATTTATCGAGTCATTCCTGCGACGTCACGGAAATGAACGGAAAGAATCGAATAGGTCACGGACAATTACGAAGGTTACGGGTAGACTTGGTGTCTCGTGATTTTAATCTACGGACACCTGCCGAATGGACCCGATGCCATTTGGCACACTCGTCCCATTCCGTAATCTACAAGATAACGCGTGGTGTGGAATGAGCCGATATGCCTCAAACTGAAAAGGGTTGTTGACGTCAAGCGTCACACGTAGATTTCACGGTGCATGCATGAATGACGCGCTGTTATATAAATCGGTGATTTTGTGACAGAAAAGTGATGTAGGGAACACTGTAAGAATAATGTGGATCGCACTAAGGAACGAGGGAGACATGAGCATGTGTAGTGACGGCACGAGGGTGAGTTAGCCTTCGAATCATTATTGAACAAATGTTGCGTGTAAAAGAGGCTTCAGTGCAAATTCCAGGCCAATTTCCATTAGCCCAAACTTTCTACAATAAACCATTTCATAGTGTACTTTTGACGTTTTTAGTTTCCCGTTTTTGTGTGAAAAAAAGTATTAAAATGCAAAAGGAAAAACAAAAAATGGTATTTACGTATTACACCGGACATGTACCTATTATATTGGATTAGGTCCCTAACCCTAAACCTAAACCCTTAACCCTAAACCTAACCCTAACCCTAATCCCTTGAAATTATCCTAATAAATAGAATGCATTGACCGAACAGGCAGTATAAAATGCCAAAGGAAAAACAACAAATGGTACTCACGTATTACACCGGACCTGTACCTAACCCTTAACCCTAAACCCTAGCCCTAACCCCTTGAATTAATCCAAATAAATAGAATGCATTGACCGAACCGGCACAAAAAATGACTGACGTGTCCAGTGTAATGCATTATTACCGCTTCGAAAAATAAAATACTAGATCTAATAAAAATCTTTCTATGTAATGGTGCAAATTACTGAATGACAAAAATATATATGTCAATTTAAAAAATGCAAAATACAATAATACACAAAACATAACACCTCAGCACCCCGTGATACAGGTAAATTTGAGTGTATTAGTGAAAAGAGAAAAATATTTCAAACTGGTGCTTGCAAAACATTGCGCATCCGCTGGTATACAACTACTGGAAACTCTCAACATCGTTGGGCTTATGCAATGACATAGCTCGTAGAGATGAAACACTAGTGAGCGGAGCTTATACGCACTCGCTGAGCCAGACAACCGTGTTGCCATGATGGCGTCATAGGGCATTGTTTCGAGAACGTGCTTTCGAACAAAATCACATTACATTACGTAAAAGGGTATTATGACGTATTTTTAAAGTTTGTGGTGCTGTATTCTAAAGGTAGGCCCAAAAAACAATCTTGCACACCCAAGGAAGTATTTATTTAAAATAGAGTTGATGACAGTAATAATATTATCACAGTGCTACGTAAATCCAGGCATGCCTCTACAGACACAGGTTAATATGCATTCCATTGAAACATCCTAATTTACACAAATCCAAATTCTGTTTCACCTGTAAAAATTAAAAACCAACGTATTGTGAAGAACATATAACAAATCATCGATAGATAACCAAGAGGAACACAATTGGATAGTCAAGTGAGATAGGACACATTTCTTAGACAGGAAGCATTTAGCTTCAACATGGATGTACGTGTGTGCGGCGTGCGTATGTGTGTGTGTGCGACAGAGTTACTAAACACTAAACACTAAATACAGTTCTTTCTTCAACATGTTTCATTTCCACAATCGGGGAGACTGAAGTAACACAGATTATGACGTCTTTGCACCAGTCACTGTGACGTAAGGCGACTGTTACATTAGTTGACGTCATAAATTGTGGCTGAAGGCGCCGTTTGTCTTATTAATGCAGGTTTAAATCTATAAATACACTAAAGCTAAATAAATGTTAATTAAGAGTCCCCTTTAAGCTGAGATTATTAAGACATAGGCGTTTTAATGAATCGGTTTTCTTTTTTGCGAAAATGGGTATGTGACGTCATAATATAATCTCAAGCTGTACTTGCTACTCGCCGAAGACAAAACGGTAATATGCAGGACAGAAAATCGTGTCGCGTGATATTGTAAGAATTTCTAGATACGCACGGACAGGTTTATCCACCCATCCATACATGCACATCCATCTGTCCATCCATCCGTACATGCACGCGCACGCACACACACACACACACACACATACAATGTACATACATACATACATACATTGTACATACATGTATACATTGTACATACATACATGCATACATACATTGTACATACATACATAAATACATACATACATACATACATACATACATACATACATACATACATACATACATACATACATACATACATACATACATACATTCCTCACCTTGTCATAATAATAGAAAACAAAAATCATGCAAATATAAAAAATCAATGAATCTCTGAAACAACAAATAGACACAACATAGTAACAAATACTCTACCTATGCTGTAAAATATAGCCACATTAATATACAACCGTAATAAAAAAAAACTCCTAAAAATAGAAACGAAAAGAAAACGGAATTGAAATTTTAAATATAAATTAAAATATCAGTTTATAACTGTGTTGGAGACAAAAGATAGACATGTTTAAATTCGTGCATGTTACACAACAACATTTCATCCTGTAATAATGCGCTCAGCCCCTGAAGGCGGAGGAGTTGATTCCATCGAAGGACACTCGTTTGGAGTAGATCCTGTTGTCGCGGAGATCAGGGACATCCTCCATGTGCATCAGGTAGTGCCTGCATTGGACACACAGACAGACAACAAGCATCAAGTTCCAGTAAGAGCGTGAATTAGCCTGCACGATGTTAGTGAAGGCAGTTTGAGGTGAGGAGAAATTGGGTTAAACATCGGGTTTTTAAAGATAACTGCACGTATGTGCTTGTGTGTACGCTTTTCTCAAACCGGACCTAGGCATTTCGGAAGTTGTGGCGCTAAAAGAAAATATTATAAACGCTTTTATGTTTACGTCAACGTTATAAATTTTGACAAAATGTGATTTAACTTTACTTAGTGCACAAAGTTAATGTTGCCGTGGGTAGCACGTGTGACAATACACAGAGAGTATTTCATCCAATCCACAAAGGCAGTACTTCATTCAATACTTTCACTACTTAGTCCGATTGACGAAATTATCTTAAAAAAGTATGTTGATGTACACATTATAGGTAGAGTGAATTTACGCGTTTCGGTCCTTCCTCTCCTGGTCCTCCACTTCATCCTCATGTCTCTGGGACTCCCTCACCAAGAGCGAGTAGGGTAGGTATTCTGAGTTTCCACTGATCTCGTATACATTTGGTGGGTTCTCATCGAATCTGACTTTCCTCAAAGAACGTGTGCAGGATGCTTTCGCCTTGGGTTGTGTGGTCTTTGGGAAGTTTCAAAATGAATGCGAGTTTGAGCCACTTTCGGATAACGTATGTTGATACGTTCATTGGACAGCCTTTGCGTACCTTTAGAAGGATTACTGGGCTTTGGTTGATCTGGAAACAGATTCGATAGGCTGCAAGTTATACGTTTCCTGCCTGACTTATTTCTTCGTGGGCATTTACCCATCTCCTGGTTGGGCCTAGCATGTACCTGAGGCCCGCGAGTTGGTTGAAGCAGCTCGCCATCAGCCATGTGACTCTTGAAATCTTCCGAACACACAGGAGTCTTGGTGTACACGTTCGGTAGGTTCCAGCCTTCGTGACTCAACCTTGCTCTGATGTTGATCAAAGAATCAGATACCGGCATCTGCTGTTGTGGAGCGTCCTCTTCCTGGTTTTGACAGACGACGTCTTCTTCATCAACGCCATCTCCATCGTCGTCCTTGACACCTGGACTGTTGGCATATGACAACTTTCTCTGAATGGGAGGAAGGAGGACCTTTGCTTGATCATCGACCAGACTGGTGTTGGAGTAAGACTGCCGGTAGACAGTCGTATACCGGAAGTTCTCGTATTCGTTCATGGGTTCCCTGACTGGTGCTGAATCTGGTTTGCCTGGTTTGGATATCCTGTCCATCCGGACCGCCCGCCTGATGGTTTGGTTGTGGTCCGGGAAGGTTGTGGAAGTCCGGGGAGAGATGTACAAGTCCCGCGTACACTGCGCCAAGCATTCTCTGGTCGGTCGACTCAGGATACACGTGCCTGTCGTGACCAAGAACAAAGAAAATACTTCAGAATGTGTAAATACTTAGGTTAAACTACAACAAAAAACGTTAATATGTATGTATGTTCGATATTATGACTGATAAAATAGTGCCACTGAAATCAGTAGCGCAAAGTTGTGTCACCTGGCCATTAGATCCTATTTTCGTTTGTGTAGTTTGAGCTTTACCAAAAGGGGAAACGTTTTAGTCATATCTTACAGATCAAACAAGCATGTCGTGATACAACTGAAATACTGTGTAGAGCATTCATTCAGACACACCGAGTGAGTGAGTGAGTGAGTGACGTTTATGCTTATTTTAGCAATATTCTAGCAACATCACGGCGGGGGACACCAGAAATGGGCTTCGCACATTGTACCCATGTGGGGAATCGAAACCGGGTCTTCGGCGAACGCTTTAACCACTGGTATATCACTCCTACACACTGAAGCTACTGTGAATACAATGTTTGAGTTAAGGTGAAATGGGGTATAAATCGCATTCCAGATATATAACGCGTCACGGAGTTCAAACCACCGATATTCTGCTCTCGGTAGACACTCTATCCACTACACCACGGGGCAACACCAGGAAATGTATGGAAGGCTCTCTGGACAAAAACGTCAAAGGCGGCGTAAAACATACCCATTCAACCAGCCGGTCAATACCTTATGTCTGTAGCCCAGTGACATTGCTGGAATATAACTTTAAAGACGGCATACAATCACACTCACTCACGCGTCACAGATACATGTCGGAGGTTACCTACCGTCACTGTGCTGACGGTCAGGGTCGTTCTGTGGGAAGATGGCAGGGGTCGGTCTGCGGGGGACCCGTCGGGAGGTGTTGTGAGTCATCTTCATCCGACGCCTGCACATAAGGATGGAGTCAGAAAACAACATTGGAACAGCGGGTTGGAAGTACTGGAAACATACAAAGCTGAAATGGCTGCCATGAATCCGGGGTCATCTTTGCTTCGAAAAAGGTGCAATCCTTTACTGTGACAGTCACTGTAACACTATGATTTCGTGATGATATTAAAGAGATATCAGAAATTTATTAGACTTAATTAGTGTACGAAATATTCAATGCATCTGAGGAATTGTACATGTTCCAAATGCATTAGTAAATGCAGACACTCTTACCCGACATCGCCGTAATTTGGTTTCGGTGCCCTGAAATATATCAAAGGCTGAGAGTAAGGTTCATGCTTTCACTATACAAGCATAGGTTTCTTGACTAACGCGAGACATGTTTCGGGGTGGGGTTTACAGATTTTGAGAATTAAATAATATTTGGTCGGTAGATACAAAAAAGACCAAAACATTTATAAGCTTTGTGCAGGATCTTTGTTAACATCAAAACGTTCTGCAATGTATTTGGATCCGTAGGTGACAAATTGGCAAGGCAACGTGACCGGTTTTAGAATAGAATAGAATAGAATAGGATAGGATAGGATAGGATAGGATAGGATAGGATAGGATAGGATAGGATAGGATAGGATAGGATAGGATAGGATAGGATAGGATAGGATAGGATAGGATAGGATAGGATAGGATAGGATAATGCCTAGGATAGGATAGGATCAGCAGATAGGATATAAGAGAGATAGGATACATATTTACATAAATGCCTTTTCAGGAATCTTCACATTTGTTCAGCAGAGCTATGGTACTTGGAATAAAGGATGTACGGGCTCTCATATTTACATAAATTCTTTTGATTTAGGCATCTTCACATTTGTTTAAGAGAGAATGGTACTTGGAATAAAGGATGTACGGGCTCTCTCCAGCGATTTTACTTGCAGTGTGAACAATTTTGTCTATTTTAGATTTGAGAAGAACTGAGAGAGACCCGTACCAACAATCGAAGGAAAATGTTAAAATACTCTGAATAAATGCTACATAAAAAGATGACATCACAGATGGGTTAACATTAAAAGATCTCAGTTTACGCATCAGATGAAGACGTTGTTGACACTTTTTGTATAGGGGTTCAGTGTTAGAGTTCCAGTTCAGCTTAGAGTCAATGAAGGTTCCCAGATACTTATACTTCGACACTGTCTCAACACATTCACCGTTGATTATCACTGGAAGCAGTTCTGTGGGTTTACTCCGAAAGTCAATTATCAGTTCCTTTGCTTTTGTGACATTTAAGAGTAAGTGGTTTTCTGCACACCAAGTCGTAAAATGATTAATGTCCTCTTTATACAGTTCTTCAGAATCAGTGTCGTTCAGTTTGCCGACAATTGCTGCATCATCTACGAACTTTACAGTTGAACAGGTTGAATTCGAGCTTGCACAATCATTAGTGTAGAGGGTGAAAAGAACAGGAGATATTACACAGCCTCGTGGTGCACCAGTGTTGGTGGTCCGTTTACTCGATACAGCTCCGTTAACCTTCACGTACTGCTGTCTGTCCGAAATGATGAGGTATGAGTTAACGCCAATGTCTAACAGTTTCTGTATCATGATATGTGGCTGGATAGTGTTGAACGCAGATGAAAAGTCAACGAAGAGGATCCTGATGTATGACTTAGGTGTCTCTAGATGTTTATAGACATTATTCAGGAGTGACAGTGTAGCATCAACAACTCCTCTCCTTGACCTGTAGGCGAACTGAAGCGGTCCTTATAATTATAAATCTAAAATCTGGAGTTTATTTTCGTTAATTTATATTTTTTTCTATTTTCAATATAATTTAGCAATTTGTCTGGTCCGTTAATCAGTAAACCAAGCAAACACAACTGTGTGGCCTGAGGACGTAACTATAAACCCTCACTTTCTGTAGAATCATCGGAAACAAATTCGGTGATCTAGCGTATTACCCACTGATTGTGTGGTAACAGAGCTGACTTTTCTTGTTCAGACTCGATTGTCTCCAGAGCACGGTGATATATCTCGAATATTGCTGGGTGCGGCATTACACAACAGTCACTAAAATCATAGTTTTAAATTTGATTGATTGTGTATGATGTATTTGATTGAATGCGTCCCTTATAAACTAATTACATGCTATTACATGAGGACATATAATCCCTGCGAAATAAACATGATGGTTAGAGGAAGGCACAAATATAACGTGTACTTGAGTTTAACATCGATGAATTTATGCGATATTTGATCATCAGCACCGTTAACCAAATAATTAAAATCTGACATAACTATTTTGTGTATTTGTGTTCACAGAGATATACAATGTAAAGGTAAATGCACCATGTGGACAGTAGTCTAAATTGGCCTAAATGTTGTTTGGTTTATGTAAACATAAACGTATAACAAGCAACAATTAAATTTAACAGTTGAATATTCATTTTTCATCAGATGCCTTCACGGCAAAGACTACTGTAACTCACATGAAACTCTCCACATCACTTGTTCTCACACCCAGTGGGACCACGTGCAAACTGTTGAAGTTGTTGCGGCTGTAACAGTAAAACATCTGTCTAGCATGAATAAATGCTGCTATACATGATGCGTATTTTCAACGCACTTTGTTCAACGAAGCCCGCGCGTCAGAATATAACTATTCGCATTCTCATAGAATTTTGCCCCGACTATGTTCTGAATAGACACACAGGTCTTCTTAAACAAAGGCCTTCCAAATACTGTTTTTTGTAAGGCCGATGACAACGCTGGTAACGATTATGTGTGACAGCTGTAGATAGCGTAGTGTCGTGCAGCGTATGTCCGGTGAATGGAAGACCAATGATTCCAAGTTATCTTTAAGAAATACAACTTTTATTACCCTGCCTGGTGCTTAACATTTGAACCAAACCGAAACATGAGTCTCATTAACTATTCAGACAATGGCCTACTTTTCAGCCGATCCGAATTTTCTCGTGTGAAAGTGAAAATAGACATCACAAACAACCACGGTTACACTGACGTGCCACACTTTTGATAAGCGGGTCAATTTCATAATTACTTGCCATGTGTGATGGTATACTAACAAACATCCCATACACTATTCTACGAACCTTGTTATATAGTGGCGGTTATGCACTACTGTTTTATTGTTATCTACTACTATTCATATAATTATTCTTAAATCGAAAGTGGAATATTCTGCAGCAGCGAAATGACGGTTACTGTTCGTAACAATTGAAACAGCCAGTGCAAATAACAGCAGGTTACACAGGCACAATGTGTAAAGCCCATTTCTCATGTTCCCCGCCGACCGCCTCCGTGGTGTAGTGGTAAGAGCGTCCGACCGGAGAGCGGAAGGTCGCGAGTTCGATCCCGGACCGCGTCATACCAAAAGACGTTAAAATATGGTACTTGTTGGTCCCTGCCTGGCGCTCGGCATTAATGGATACAACGACTGGTCGGCTCGGAGTCAGTATAATGTGTCTGAGTGGGGTATGCATGCTTCACTGCGGCATGGTATCTCATTGGGCTAGAACTATAAAACCAGCTTAAGTCTAGGCTAGTACAAGCAGCCGCACATACACATACACACGCATGCACGTCGTCATATGAGCGAAATATTCTCAAGCACGACGTTAAACCCAATTCCACCACCACCACCACCACATCATGTCCCCCGCCGTGATATTGCTGGAATATTGCTAAAAACGGCGTAAAACTAAACTCACTAACTCACTATAAGGTTATATACTCATGTGTATTATAAGTTAACTACAGTTAACGCAAAAGGTAACAGTACTGTCCTTCATTTACACACGACCTCTCTTACAACAAGTATCGTAAAGTAAGAAACAGTAACTGTTATTACGATGTACATTTTCACCACAAATCTAAAACTACAAATTGTTAGTTCCTGACGCATCGTGAGAACGCACCTCTAAGTGAGAACCAGACGTAGTGCTCAAGGCGATGACGCGACAATAGCATGACGTCACAGACGTGTCTGGTCTGTCCGTGGAGCGGACATTGTCGGGATGGTGACTCTCGCTCTTCCTCCCTTTGCTCAGCAGTCTCTGGCAAGGACATTGTACACTGGATTCAGTGACGAGAGGTCAGTAGCCTTTACTTTAACATGCATATAGGCAATCTCAACAATCCCAAATATATGCATGTGTGATACATCGCGCTGTTGCCAAGGCGTTGTGCATGACAACACGGTAATGCCGACCGCAGGACTGCCAGTTATGATTGATTGATTGATTGATGCCAGACTCAGCAATATTCCAGCTGTATGGGGGCGGTCAGTTAATAATCAAGTCTGGACCAGACAATCCAGTGATCAACATCATGAGCATCGATATACGCAATTGCATGAGATACGATGACATGTGTCAACCAATTCAGCGAGCCTGACCACCCGACCCGTTACTCGTCTCTTACGAGAAGCATGGGTTACTGAAGGTCAACTCTAACCAGGATCTTCACGAGTCCCCAGTTATGAAATGATGGTTCGAATTTCAATGACTTTCAATATTCTGTGAGCAGGTCCCGGGAAAAAGTATACACCGTTTGATTTAAGCTTAAATGATGAAAAGGCCAAACACACAAAAACAAATCGAAAAGTAAAACAACATCCTTGGTATAGTGCAACTTGTAAAGTGAACATATCTCAACGATGAGACATAGAAGAAACACATTTGAAAGAAACACACCTTCTCAAATGTTTCTGAATATATTCAAGAATGCTGAATATTACTGTGAACAGGAAAACAAAATGAGTGAGTGAGTGAGTTTGGTTTTACGCCGCTTTTAGCAATTCCAGCAACATCACGGCGGGGAAAACCATTGTGTCTTCGGTGTGACGGGCCAACGCTTTAAATTACCTCTAGGCTACCCCACCGCCCCGAAAACAACATGAAACGGGTAAACCTTGATGCGAGACATAAATATTTAACACAATGGTTTAAGTGAGAACAAATTATCTAAGAATGAAATTGACCCGCTTATCAAAAGTGTGGCACGTCACTTTATTTGAATGACAGCAAATACACTACCGGACAAATGGAAGCTTTGTTTTATACGGGCATCATACCTATAAATCGTAGGCATGGCGTGTTTCGGCGAGTGTTTTTTACTTTCTTTAGGTATTGTATATATTCGCATAATTAAATGTCACGTTTTAAATATTTTTAAAACATTAATGTAAACATTGCAAATAACATAAAATTACAAATGATAATATATACAGTTGTACATCAGTTTAGGAAAATGACCAGCCATTGTGTCTATACTAGTCACTGAAGCGTACGTAAACTCTTAAACGAAGTGGCTATTGGGAATATGCGCCATCCACTTCTTATTCTTAGGCAAGTAGAAATCGACGTCAAAATAAAATAACCTAGACATTTGTGATAAGAAGCCAATTATTGCAGAACATTGTTCACAGGTCTATTTATCATGTACACAAAACCCAAGAAAAATCAAGAATGGGGAAATATGTTTTTGGGGGTGTCCAAAACAGGGCCTATGTGGTGAAATGCCGTATACAAAATTCAAAGGACCTTTGAAAATGTATTTAGTATTGTTCACAAGCGGACATATAGAACACATTTTAATATATTCGAAAGATGAAATCCGAGATGACAAAACGAGCAAGTCCCTCAGTCTACAATTAACACGACTCAAGAAAATAGGAGTGACACAGTGCGCCGCTCTCGCGATACCATGGTTTACAGGATCCGCTAAGCAATGGCTTGTTTCCTTCTTATCCCCTTAAATATTCAAAAACAAAAAACAATTTAGATGACAGTACAATAAATCATGATTTATTGTACTGTGAAGCATTTCGAGTAGGGGGTCATCTCAAAGATTGTTTGTTCTTTTATCTTTAGTCCTCGCAAAGACACAAGGGCCTGTGCTTGCAATGGCTACAGTAATAAACGTGCGCATGTGAGTCTAAAACAGTGTTAAACACCAAACCCGCCCCCACCCCCAACTCCCCACAGAGCTGCATGTGCAGTAATACACCTGAAACAGTGAATGGATTAGATCTATATACTTCTTCCTTGTCTACATTTGTTTCGTTTGTAAGGTCAAGGTCGCAGCGATGGGGAGAGAACCCAATACACGACGTGCCGCTCTGTGAAACAAGGGACCCACTGGCCAGATTGTGAGTATCACTGGACATTTTACGTGAGACACTGGACATGTAAATCTCGTCCATAAAACACGGAAAGACGTTTTTTCCGTCGGTATTGGAAAGAATTTAAACGGCATATGAACGATATTAGAAACGCTCCATAAAAGTGATGTAAGCGAAATTGCATTTGACGTAGGTTCTTAGATTATTGCACGTTTATAGTTTCATGCATGTGTGTCTGCGTGCGTGCGTGCGTACTAGTCCTCTGAGACACAATAAAGACACCAGTTAAACAGTGACTCACTCGGGCTCAGTCCGTTGACTCTAACCCGAACAGTTCTTGTTTTTCAAGTCAAAACATTGATTACACAACAGTCTCGTTTCCTCTTGACTGGGTCCCGTCCTATTGCGCAACTCAGTACAATAACCAGTCCAGAATTTTGGGAACGATTCATTTAACTGGATACATAATTAATTATCAGTATTATTTCATACATCTGAGCACTTGTATATTGCAACACTACACTCCTTCTAATCATTGCAAACACGTCGTGCAGCGTGCTCTGTCGTACAGCGAGCTCTGACAAACGGAAACCTGGAAATTGTTGAAATCTGAAAACGAGGCTCTCCCGCTAGAAAGGTTTGGCGGTCTGGTACGGACTTGATATTATATCAATCACATTGTGCATTACAGAACTATATACACAACATCAGCGCACAGAGCACATAACAGGTGTAACCAGCGAGCCAGATGTATTGTGAATCATTTTTCGACCTCATCAAACAGGGGCAGTCTGCGAGCCTTAGTTAAAGTCATGCTGCCTTCACCTCGCCATAATTATAGAAATACTACGTTATTAAAGTTTAAAATTAAACTTCATTTTTAAAATACCATTTTCTTTTGAAACAAGAAATTGGAATTCAGTGTAACCATGGTTGTTTGTGATGTCTATTTTCACTTTCACACGAGAAAATTCGGATCGGCTGAAAAGTAGGCCATTGTCTGAATAGGTTAATGAGACTGATGTTTCGGTTTGGTTCAAATGTTCAGCACCAGGCAGGGTAATAAGAAGTTGTATTTCTTAAAGATAACTTGGAATCATTGGTCTTCCATTCACCGGACATACGCTGCACGACACTACGCTATCTATAGCTGTCACACATAATCGTTACCAGCGCTGTCATCGGCCTTCAAAACAACAGTATTTGTAAGAGAGGAGAGATTTGTTTAAGAAGACCTGTTTGTCTATTCAGAACATAGTCAGGGCAAAATTCTATGAGAATGCGAATAGTTATATTCTGACGCGCAGGCTTCGTTGAACAAAGTGCGTTGAAAATACGCATCATGTATAGCAGCATTTATTCATGCTAGACAGATGTTTTACTGTTACAGCCGCAACAACATCAACAGTTTGCACGTGGTCCCACTGGGTGTGAGAACAAGTGATGTGGAGAGTTTCATGTGAGTTACAGTAGTCTTTGCCGTGAAGGCATCTGATGAAAAATGAATATTTAACTGTTAAATTTAATTGTTGCTTGTTATACATTTATGTTGACATAAACCAAACAACATTTAGGCCAATTTAGACTACTGTCCACATGGTGCATTTACCTTTACATTGTATATCTCTGTGAACACAAATACACAAAATAGTTATGTCAGATTTTAATTATTTGGTAAACGGTGCTGATTATCAAATATCGCATAAATTAATCAATGTTGAACTCAAGTACACGTTATATTTGTGCCTTCCTCTAACCATCATGTTTATTTCGCGGGGATTATATGTCCTCATGTAATAGCATGTAATTAGTTTATAAGGGACGCATTCAATCAAATACAGCATACACAATCAATCAAATTTAAAACTATGATTTTAGCTTAAGTGACTGTTGTGTAACGCCGCACCCAGCAATATTCCAGATATATCACCGTGCTCTGGAGATAATCGAGTCTGAACAAGAAAAGTCAGCTCTGTTACCACACAATCAGTGGGTAATACGCTAGATCACCGAATTTGTTTCCGATGATTCTACAGAAAATGAGGGTTAATAGTTACGTCCTCAGGCCACACAGTTGTGTTTGCTTGGATTACTGATTAACCGACCAGACAAATTGCTAAATTATATTGAAAATAGGAAAAAATATAAATTAACGAAAATAAACTCCAGATGTTAGATTTATAATTATAAGGACCTCAAAACCGGTCACGTTGCCTTGCCAATTGGTCACCTACCGATCCAAATACATTGCAGAACGTTTTGATGTGAACAAAGATCCTGCACAAAGCTTTTAAATGTTTTGGTCTTTTTTGTATCTACCGACCAAATATTATTTAATTCTCAAAATCTGTAAACCCCACCCCAAACATGTCTCGCGTTAGTCAAGAATTCTATGCTTATATAGTGAAAGCATGAACCTTACTCTCAGCCTTTGATATATTTCAGGACACCGAAACCAAATTACGGCGATGTCGGGTAAGAGTGTCTGCATTTACTAATGCATTTGGAACATGTACAATTCCTCAGATGCATTGAATATTTCGTACACTAATTAAGTCTAATAAATTTCTGATATCTCTTTAATATCATCACGAAATCATAGTGTTACAGTGACTGTCACAGTAAAGGATTGCACCTTTTTCGAAGCAAAGATGACCCCGGATTCATGGCAACCATTTCAGCTTTGTATGTTTCCAGTACTTCCACCCCGCTGTTCCAATGTTGTTTTCTGACTCCATCCTTATGCGCAGGCGTCGGATGAAGATGACTCACAACACCTCCCGACGGGTCCCCCGCAGACCGACCCCTGCCATCTTCCCACAGAACGACCCTGACCGTCAGCACAGTGACGGTAGGTAACCTCCGACATGTATCTGTGACGCGTGAGTGAGTGTGATTGTATGCCGTCTTTAAAGTTATATTCCAGCAATGTCACTGGGCTACAGACATAAGGTATTGACCGGCTGGTTGAATGGGTATGTTTTACGCCGCCTTTGACGTTTTGTCCAGAGAGCCTTCCATACATTTCCTGGTGTTGCCCCGTGGTGTAGTGGATAGAGTGTCTACCGAGAGCAGAATATCGGTGGTTTGAACTCCGTGACGCGGTATATATCTGGAATGCGATTTATACCCCATTTTAACCTCAACTCAAACATTGTATTCACAGTAGCTTCAGTGTGTAGGAGGGGTATACCAGTGGTTAAAGCGTTCGCCGAAGACCCGGTTTCGATTCCCCACATGGGTAAAATGTGCGAAGCCCATTTCTGGTGTCCCCCGCCGTGATGTTGCTAGAATATTGCTAAAATAAGCATAAACGTCACTCACTCGGTGTGTCTGAACGAATGCTCTACACAGTATTTCAGTTGTATCACGACATGCCAGTTTGATCTGTAAGATATGACTAAAACGTTTTCCCTTTTGGTAAAGCTCAAACTACACAAACGAAAATAGGATCTAATGGCCAGGTGACACAACTTTGCGCTACTGATTTCAGTGGCACTATTTTATCAGTCATAATATCGAACATACATACATAATAACGTTTTTGTTGTAGTTTAACCTAAGTATTTACACATTCTGAAGTATTTTCTTTGTTCTTGGTCACGACAGGCACGTATATCCTGAGTCGACCGACCAGAGAATGCTTGGCGCAGAGTACGCGGGACTTGTACATCTCTCCCCGGACTTCCACAACCTTCCCGGACCACAACCAAACCATCAGGCGGGCGGTCCGGATGGACAGGATATCCAAACCAGGCAAACCAGATTCAGCACCAGTCAGGGAACCCATGAACGAATACGATAACTTCCGGTATACGACTGTCTACCGGCAGTCTTACTCCAACACCAGTCTGGTCGATGATCAAGCAAAGGTCCTCCTTCCTCCCATTCAGAGAAAGTTGTCATATGCCAACAGTCCATGTGTCAAGGACGACGATGGAGATGGCGTTGATGAAGAAGACGTCGTCTGTCAAAACCAGGAAGAGGAAGCTCCACAACAGCAGATGCCGGTATCTGATTCTTTGATCAACATCAGAGCAAGGTTGAGTCACGAAGGCTGGAACCTACCGAACGTGTACACCAAGACTCCTGTGTGTTCTGAAGATTTCGAGAGTCACATGGCTGATGGCGAGCTGCTTCAACCAACTCGCGGGCCTCAGGCACATGCTAGGCCCAACCAGGAGATGGGTAAATGCCCACGAAGAAATAAGTCAGGCAGGAAACGTATAACTTGCAGCCTATCGAATCTGTTTCCAGATCAACCAAAGCCCAGTAATCCTTGTAAAGGTACGCAAAGGCTGTCCAATGAACGTATCAACATACGTTATCCGAAAGTGGCTCAAACTCGGATTCATTTTGAAACTTCCCAAAAGACCACACAACCCAAGGCGAAAGCATCCTGCACACGTTCTTTGAGGAAAGTCAGATTCGATGAGAATCCACCAAATGTATACGAGATCAGTGGAAACTCAGAATACCTACCCTACTCGCTCTTGGTGAGGGAGTCCCAGAGGCATGAGGAAGAAGGGAATGGAGAAGAAGCAAAATTGGAGGAGGATGAAGTGGAGGACCAGGAGAGGAAGGACCAAGAGGAGAGGGATGCTGCTGAGTGGGGGACGGATGAGATGCTGGAAGCAGGATGGAGGAGAAATACTCTCCTTCCTCATCTGCAGATTCCAGACTTCAGGAGCTTCTGTCATTCAAAGTAAGTCACAGTCCACACCTAGATATAACGTATTTTATTACCTACCCATAGGGTTACCATACAATTACGAGTTCAAATATCACTTCGCGGGCTCCCAATCATCATTGCGCTGATCGAACATTGCTCCAGTCATAGAAATAGAGAAAGACTATGCTACAGTATGTAATGGTTTACGCCCTTCGTAATCGTTGACGCCTTTCGATTCTTATTGTGACGTAAGTCGGAATGGCGTCACACTAGGAACAATGTCATTTCTGGAAAGTGATGCCATTATTCGATAATTGTTGTTTCTTAAAGTACGTTAAGACATGAAGGGAAGAGAGAAATTACATGGTGAATGAATGCATACGATACCTTCTCCCGACACTCGTATAATCACCTCTTATCATTTTACAATGACTTTATGTATTTGTAGATATATCTTACAGTGGCTTTATGTAACCGGTAGACATATCTTACTGTGGTTTTATGTAACCTGTTGTATGACAGTTGACGTATTGGTTTCAACTTTATTTTTCTTTGAAATTGCCGAGTTGGTACAGATCGCAGTACGCTACTTCCTTGACTAGTACCGAAACGCGTAAATTCCCTCTACCTATAATGTGTACATCAACATACTTTTTTAATATAATTTCGTCAATCGGACTAAGTAGTGAAAGTATTGAATGAAGTACTGCCTTTGTGGATTGGATGAAATACTCTCTGTGTATTGTCGGACGTGCTACCCACGGCAGCATTAACTTTGTGCACTAAGTAAAGTTAAATCACATTTTGTCAAGATTTATAACGTTGACGTAAACATAAAAGCGTTTATAATATTTTCTTTTAGCGCCACAACTTCCGAAATGCCTAGGTCCGGTTTGAGAAAAGCGTACACACAAGCACATACGTGCAGTTATCTTTAAAAACCCGATGTTTAACCCAATTTCTCCTCACCTCAAACTGCCTTCACTAACATCGTGCAGGCTAATTCACGCTCTTACTGGAACTTGATGCTTGTTGTCTGTCTGTGTGTCCACTACAGGCACTACCTGATGCACATGGAGGATGTCCCTGATCTCCGCGACAACAGGATCTACTCCAAACGAGTGTCCTTCGATGGAATCAACTCATCCGCCTTCAGGGGCTGAGCGCATTATTGCAGGATGAAATGTTGTTGTGTAACATGCACGAATTTAAACATGTCTATCTTTTGTCTCCAACACAGTTATAAACTGATATTTTAATTTATATTTAAAATTTCAATTCCGTTTTCTTTTCGTTTCTATTTGTTAGGAGTTTTTTTTTATTACGGTTGTATATTCATGTGGCTATATTTTACAGCATAGGTAGAGTATTTGTTACTATGTTGTGTCTATTTGTTGTTTCAGAGATTCATTGATTTTTTATATTTGCATGATTTTTGTTTTTTATTATTATGACAAGGTGAGGGAGATCAGTCTGCTCTCAGTCTGATGCATCATCTTACATCGTATTTGTATTGAACTAATCATATTTATGCCATGTTTCATCATGTAGCTGTCTTACATGCAGTCATTTAACACCGTTATGAGTCCAGAAGGCATGTATGTATGCATTTAGGTATGTCAGTATGCATGTACATTGTATGTGTGTGTGTGTGTGTGTGCGCGCGCGGGCGTGCATGTACGGATGGATGGACAGATGGGTGTGCATGTATGGATGGGTGGATAAACCTGTCCGTGCGTGCGTGCGTATCTAGAAATTCTTACAATATCATGCGACACGACTTTCTCTCCTGCATATTACAGTTTCGTATTCGGCGAGTAACAATTACAGCTTGAGATTATATTATGACGTCACAATACAACCATACCCATTTTCGCAAAAAAGAAAACCGATTCATTAAAAAGTTGTGCCTATGTCTTAATAATTTCAGCTTAAAAGGGACTCTTAATTAACATTTATTTAGCTTTAGTGTATTTATAGATTTAAACCTGCATTAAAAGGACAAATTTTAAACTTATTACATGAAAAGTCCAATCACATTGCCAAACAAACGGCGCCTTCAGCCACAATTTATGACGTAACAGTCGCCTTACGTCACAGAGACTGATGCATTGACGTCATATAATCTGTGTTACTTCAGTCTCCCCGATTGTGGAAATGAAACATGTTGAAGAAAATATTTAGTGTTTAGTGTTTAGTAACTCTGTCGCACACACACACATACGCACGCCGCACACACGTACATCTATGTTGAAGCTAAATGCTTCCTGTCTAAGAAATGTGTCCTATCTCACTTGACTATCCAATTGTGTTCCTCTTGGTTATCTATCGATGATTTGTTATATGTTCTTCACAATACGTTGGTTTTTATTTTTTACAGGTGAAACAGAATTTGGATTTGTGTAAATTAGGATGTTTCAATGGAATGCATATTAACCTGTGTCTGTAGAGGCAAGCCTGGATTTATGTAGCACTGTGATAATATTATTACTGTCATCAACTCTATTTTAAATAAATATTTCCTTAGATGTGCAAGATTGCTTTTTGTGTGTTCTGTTAAATTTGAAACTTGGCGGTAGAAAAGATACGTTGTGTTCCAGCATAAGTCTCTATGCATGATTCAACTATGATGGGACCGCATCCGTGGTGTAGTGGTAAGAGCGTCCGCCCGGAGAGCGGAAGGTCGCGGGTTCGATCCCCGACCGCGTCATACCAAAAGATGTTAAAATATGGTACTTGTTGGTCCCTGCCTGGCGCTCGGCATTTAATGGGTACAACAAGGACTGGTCGGCTCGAATCAGTATAATGTGTCTGAGTGGGGTATTCATGCTTCACTGCGGCATGGTATCTCAGTGGGCTAGCACTATAAAACCAGCTTAAGTCTGGGCTAGTACAAGCAGCCGCACATACACATTCACACGCATGCACGTGGTCATATGAGCGAAATATTCTCAAGCACGACGTTAAACCCAATTTCACTTCACCTCACCTCAACTATGATGGAAGGTGTTGAGTCGTAGTGTTGGTCTAAGGGTTTACACAATATGATGGAAGGTGTTGAGTTGTAGTGTTGGTCTATGGTTTACACAATATGATGGAAGGTGTTGAGTCGTAGTGTTGGTCTATGGGTTTACACAATATGATGGAAGGTGTTGAGTTGTAGTGTTGGTCTATGGGTTTACACAATATGATGGAAGTTGTTGAGTTGTAGTGTTGGTCTGTGGGTTTACACAATATGATGGAAGGTGTTGAGTTGTAGTGTTGGTCTATGGGTTTACACAATATGATGGAAGGTGTTGAGTCGTAGTGTTGGTCTATGGGTTTACACAATATGATGGAAGGTGTTGAGTTGTAGTGTTGGTATAAGGATTTACACAATATGATGAAAGGTGTTGAGTTGTAGTGATGGTCTAAGGGTTTACACAATATGATGGAAGGTGTTGAGTCGTAGTGTTGGTCTATGGGTTTACACAATATGATGGAAGGTGTTGAGTTATAGTGTTGGTCTATGGGTTTACACAATATGATGGAAGGTGTTGAGTTGTAGTGTTGGTATAAGGATTTACACAATATGATGGAAGGTGTTGAGTTGTAGTGTTGGTCTATGGGTTTACACAATATGATGGAAGGTGTTGAGTTGTAGTGTTGGTCTATGGGTTTACACAATATGATGGAAGGTGTTGAGTTGTAGTGTTGGTATAAGGATTTACACAATATGATGGAAGGTGTTGAGTCGTAGTGATGGTCAAAGGGTTTACACAATATGATGGAAGGTGTTGAGTTGTAGTGTTGGTCTATGGGTTTACACAATATGATGGAAGGTGTTGAGTCGTAGTGATGGTCTATGGGTTTACACAATATGATGGAAGGTGTTGAGTCGTAGTGTTGGTCTATGGGTTTACACAATATGATGGAAGGTGTTGAGTTGTAGTGTTGGTATAAGGATTTACACAATATGATGGAAGGTGTTGAGTTGTAGTGTTGGTCTATGGGTTTACACAATATGATGGAAGGTGTTGAGTCGTAGTGTTGGTCTATGGGTTTACACAATATGATGGAAGGTGTTGAGTTGTAGTGTTGGTATAAGGATTTACACAATATGATGGAAGGTGTTGAGTTGTAGTGTTGGTCTATGGGTTTACACAATATGATGGAAGGTGTTGAGTTGTAGTGTTGGTCTATGGGTTTACACAATATGATGGAAGGTGTTGAGTCGTAGTGTTGGTCTATGGGTTTACACAATATGATGGAAGGTGTTGAGTCGTAGTGATGGTCTAAGGGTTTACACAATGGTCAGATTACTTTAACAACATGCAAGCAGGTTCACTGTAAGATTTACATTGGCAACTGTGTTGACACAAACATGTAGTGAATTCAGAATACAGCGGCTTGTACATAGTCAGGGCCAGACCAACCAGTGGTTGATATTGTGAACCACATAGCATGCTATCAGACTAAAGACATTAACCAAGGTGTGAAATCGTAGTTGACACTGCTCTTCTTTCACACTCAGACATCCACTGATTGGTCAAACCTGAACAAAAGGTGTCAAAACCGGTCGTTGCCTTACATTAGCGACTACAGCCATCCCCTTTCCATTTTTACACTCACCACTCAGATAGTTTATTCAAAATATACTTTTCGACAATTCAAAAGTAAACAATTTATGAACAATAGGACTATAAAACTGCCCCAAGTATTTGGTATTATATCTGTAGGGGCTGGTGCAAATTACGCCTGGCTTTGGTGTGAAGGTTTGAATCGAAGGGATGTATTTGTGCTGTCTATGTTGGACAGACACAGAACCATCCTGCTATGTAGCTTGCCTGAAGAAACAACTGTTGCCTTTAAAAACTGGATGGGAATTCCATGACAGGGGAATCAAACGTTCGGGGCCATCAGCCACATACATTTGCAAGTCTTGCCTGTACAAACTAGTAGAGGATGTCTCAAAAAGTGACCAAACTCACTATCATGTTAGTCCACTATCCAAGTGTTAGACCCTATGATTCCAACTATTCATGAACATGTGTTCATGATTCACTGTCAAATGGTAATGACACCAGGTGCTCGCCAAAACTATCTCCTGTGGGGACGCATCGGTACCATGACAACTCAAGGAGTATGACCACCAGCCTGCCGCCTCTTTCAACAAGTACAGGTTTGTAAGACCAATACCCTACTGAATCTGGTTTAGTCAAACCTGGAGTATGACCACCAGCCTGCCACCTCTTTCAACAAGTACAGGTTCGTGAGACCAATACTCTGTTAGTCAAACCTGAGGTTGACAGTATGAGCATCCATCCAAGCTGTCAAGAAAGATAATACACAATCTTGATGGTAGCACCAGATCCACAATATATTTATTGAAATATATAACAAATACAATGTCAATCTTTCTCAAATGCACAAACTGAAAGTTAAAATAAAATCTCAATACCTTTTACTATGATAAGGGTGTGAATGGCATACAGTATAAGCTAGTGATGAGTATTAAGCCAGATGACATATAAACAACAACCAGGGATATGTTTCAGAGATTTTGTGAAACAAGGTCAACAAAATTTGTGACATAATGTTCTTATCATACATGTGGCATTCAGTGTGTCTTAAATACTCGATATCTTAGTCAGACAATAATACAAAACATGTACAATGAAACCCTTGTAATCCACACACCTTAAAGCCAGACACCTTGGGTCTTGGAGTAACTGATACAATCTATAAATCTGTCCTTATTGACTTATTAATACCACAATTTGCTATTCCAGTTATGCTGGGACTTATTTCATATTTTAGACAGGTTCGTGAGACCAATACTCTGTTAGTCAAACCTGAGGTTGACAGTATGAGCATCCATCCAAGCTGTCAAGAAAGATAATGCACAATCTTGGTGGTAGCACCAGATCCACAATATATTTATTGAAATATATAACAAATACAATGTCAATCTTTCTCAAATGCACAAACTGAAAGTTAAAATAAAATCTCAATACCTTTTACTATGATTAGGGTGTGAATGGCATACAGTATAAGATAGTGATGAGTATTAAGCCAGATGACATATAAACAACAACCAGGGATATGTTTCAGAGATTTTGTGAAACAAGGTCAACAAAATTTGTGACATAATGTTCTTATCATACATGTGGCATTCAGTGTGTCTTAAATACTCGATATCTTAGTCAGACAATAATACAAAACATGTACAATGAAACCCTTGTAATCCACACACCTTAAAGCCAGACACCTTGGGTCTTGGAGTAACTGATACAATCTATAAATCTGTCCTTATTGACTTATTAATACCACAATTTGTTATTCCAGTTATGCTGGGACTTATTTCATATTTTAGACACAGAACTTTCCATCATGAATTCTCACATTTGGTCAGTAATTATTCATATTACACTATAATTGTAAAGGTGTAAACAAAACAAGAGTTGCATCCCTCGATGTAATCATCAACAGTACACCACATCACATAGTAACTGTACACATTGTGAAAAGTCAGTTGGTTAATGTTTTTGACATTCGCAGTAGTCACATAGAAATCAAATCTTAGAGATCACAGGTCTGATTTGAGGTAGATGGCAAAAGCAAGGCACATTACATTAAAAATCCGAATATAGAATATGTATCAAAAAGCAGCATCATATATGTGGACAGCCATATGCATTCTAACTAAATTATATTTGATGACCTTCGCAGAAATATTTGCAAGTTTTGGTTTATAACAGCCTTTTGTTAGAAATGTTTCAGTCATTGTCATAATAATTTCAATATATGAATAGCATACACAATGCTACATAGAAAGCAGTCAAATGTAACACATGTTAAATTTGAACATAGAGAAGTTAGAGGCACTTGATAGCATTTTGTCATGTTTTTATGGTATGTCTCAAGGGGAATTTTGCCCCACAATTTTGGTGGAGGGTGCGAGTCCTCCATTCATCATTTTAGGACCAACATGTGTTTGACATTATCTCTGTATAATCAGGGGATAATTTACTGACAGGTCGTAATAAAAGCAGAATTCGAATAACTACATGCAAACTTATCTGGGATCCAATTTGACCGTGAATTGATCCCATTTCGAGGACGTAATCATCTACAAATTAATATTACTGTCATGAAGTCAACATGTTTACATGTAAGCAATATAATTCACTACCTACACATTCAAATTTTCAGGTTCATCATAGGTCATCTTATTCATTCTCAAATGCTTCAGTCAATTTTGTCTCCTGTTGTGGTGGGTGGTCTACAGTGTATTTGAGAGTTATCTCCCTTGTCACCTGTTTGGCAAGGTCCAGTTTCCATACAATATGGTTCTGTTTGGTGATATTTGGGTTGGTATTCTTCTCTGGGTGTTTCAGATCAAGACTGGGTTCCAACAGAGTCACCTGTAGAGAAACAATAACACATATTTTCTTTCAGCGGAATAATTACACATATTGTGCATTATGACAAAAAAAGAAGACCAGGAAAAAGTGCATACCCATCATTGATCTTCTTTATCGTTAAAGAATAAGCTCATACACAAAACACAAATAAATGCACAGCCAGAAACACAATGCATGAATAATCATTCTGAATGAATCACTTTGTTTCCTTTTTAAAAAAGGCAGTATTTTCTTTAAAATAAGCAAATGTCCCTCGGGATATGAGACTGTCATAGCTTGACTCCCCTCCAAGAGTTTCAAGGTGATCACAAAAGCCATTTCAAGGTTGAAGCTGCTGATGGACTTATGGACAGAGAGACAGATGATGGACAACATGCCATGTCCATAACAAGCCTGTGCGCAAACATTCAGTCAACCAGTCAATCCATGGCCGTATTTATGGTACAGTAATGATACAAAAGCAAAGGGCCTGGTGTGGTGTAACCTACCTTGATTTTGTCATCACTACTACGGGGGAGTTGAAGTTTCAGGACAATATTGATGGAATATTCATGAGTGTTCTTGATCTCGACCACTTGCTCGTAGGTTGTGTTGGTGGTCTTGCTAATGAGGCCTGAGGAGGCCGTGAACTTCTTCAGTGGTTTATATGTGACCTTGACCGCAGGATCGACACCCAGAGAACACAAGAACTCCTCCCCAGGGGACACCAACTTGATCTCAGCCTGGAACAGAAGCAGATATTGCATCTTGTTACAACTGAGCTGATTTGTTACCTACTTTGTTGTACCTCTCACTCTGCTGGTTGAATTACTACTCATCATATCCCATTTGAGTCATATGATGCTCAGTTACTTCAGAATCTTTTCCAGACTTGATTATTTACAAACTCTCATCAGAAAATGGGTACCCGGTGGGATAAGTCATGTGACTATTAACCTCCGAAATTCAGAGGCAGCTTAGGTTATCCAGGGTAATAAATAGTTAGCGCTTTGAGCTAGATATTCATCCTCGAATGGCTTATAAAAGTGAATATTATTATTATGAATTAGCTGGAATATTGCAGAGTGTAACATAAAACAAGAAACAATCAAACAAACACTTTGCTGTGACTTACTCATGTGCTGTGACTTACTTAGCTGTGCAAGACCCTGTGCTGTGTGACTTAATTTGCTGTGCAAGACCCTGTGCTGTGTGACTTAATTTGCTGTGCAAGACCCTGTGCTGTGTGACTTACTTTGCTGTGCAATACCCTGTGCTGTGTGACTTGCTTTGCTGTGCAAGACCCTGTGCTGTGTGACTTACTTTGCTGTGCAACTTACTTTGCGGTGCAAGACCTTGTGCTGTGTGACTTACTTTGCTGTGTGACTTACTTTGCTGTGCAAGACCCTGTGTGACTTTGCTGTGTTATTTACGTTGGCGTGTCATGTAACGCTCAACAAATTTACCAGATCTTTTATACTCACCTTAGCAACAAAGCTGTTATCCAGGAATATGCTGGTTTCACCTGGTAACAGCGTAAACACTGAGTTGTTGGTGACCCTGGCCTGGAGATATGCCCTTGGTTCCACCTTAGGGGAGAGTGATGTATTCCAGGTTGGGCTTCACATCAAATATTCCCACAGACACCTTGTGTGGCAGGTTGTCACTCGGAATCGATGACTGACGAGCAATTTCGTAGGATGTGCTGGTGGTAGATTCTGTCACCTGCAAGGGTATGAGACATGACACATCAGGGACTGATCATTTCTTACAAGGGGTCGCGGTCTTTGGAAAAATTTAAGATGGGAGGGCTAACCCATGAAAAAATGATTGCTGAAACATCTGGGACTACATTTGGGAATGTCATCAGAATATGACTGAGACCACTCCTAATGTCCCCCTCATCCCCTAAGAAACGACCAGTTTCAAAATGATTATTTTTGATTCATGTCCAACTAATCATGATGAGGAAAAGCCATAAGGAAATGGGTTAAATGATTAAAAATGTGAAAAAAGAAATATTGAAAAGGAAACTGTTTACAAAAATACCAGTATACAAAAATGTTGAAACAAAATATAGTCTTGTTGACATTTATTCTTTTTTTAGCTTGTTTATCAAAGTTCCAAAGGGTGGTTGTATAACCACTCCTGTCATAGGAAGACTAATTTTCATTTGCCAGAAAATCTGGGCCTAGATTTTTTAAGCTCTCTTAGCGCTAAGATAGTCGTAAGTGCCATACATTAACATTAACTTACGACTATCGTAGGGCTAAGAGAGCTTCGAAAATCTAGGTCCTGGTATTTTCTGTGACCAGAGACCATATGAAATACACTGCATCTGTTTCATGTGAAACATGTGCCAGCTCACCTTAATGTGGCTTCATTAACAACGTAACGAAAGTTGCTGTCTCGGTTACAACTGATCTCCAAAGTGATTGTGCCCGTGTAATGATAATACAATAATGATGTAACAAACACTGGAATGTGATGAATCCAAGAACCAACTACAAGCATACAAAAATGACTGATCTGACTTTTTAACACGGTTAACATGGTGACAATACTAAACATCAAAGTTGATTTGGTCAATTAATTAGTGAGGAGATGTTCAGGTGAGTTAAAATCTACAAGTAACAATTTGTTTCATTAGTGATATCTTTTCTATTTTCCTAATCCATTAATGACAGAGCAAGGTAAACAAGATAGATTGTTTAAGCTTGTTTTCTGATCAGAGATTTGAGTTCAAATCTTGAAACTGAAATATCGTGAAAATATTTCTTAATCCAAATGTTCAAAGCATGCAACGAAAGACAACATTCTTTTACATTGAACACACATGCAATACAACACCTTGATACCTTTGTTTCAACATACGGCATTGGAGCACAATAATCCAATAATTCGTCTCGCGAGTCCTCAATAAGTCCTGCCGATTGCAGATGCAAGCTACCCCCTGGAGCTGAATTCAAAGTTCTTCCTCGTGACTTCATTCGGAAAGACCTGATAACGGTTGTAGAAAACAAATCTGAGAGTATAAACGTACCTTTGACTGAGTGTAGCCCATGAGTCTAGGCGTTGATTCAATACTTGCAGCACACTCATACTCTTCGTCATCATATTCATCTTGCGAGTAACTCTTCCCACGAGAGAAACTGCCTGCTTTTGCCAGAGAACGAAATCTAAACAAGACTTTCTCCTGTATGTTTATGTACAACAGAGATGCTGTCAGAATGATACAGGCTGCTCTTGTTACTTGAATGAATGGTATAGGGATGGTGGGATGGCCTAGTGGTTAAAGTGTTTCACTGGTTTTGTCCAAGTAAAGCACTTTTCTTTTGTTTTTAAACCTGATATTGCTGGAATAATGCTAAAAGTGACTTAAATCCCATCTCACAATGTCATAGTGAAATGTTAGTAAGTGACTTTGGTTTTAACTAAATGATAAGTTTGCAGTGGTCGTGGTGGCCAGTGAATTTTGTATTGATAGTTAAGTAAATCTACAAAGGCTATTTTGGACCAGTGAAGTACAAAGAGGACCACTTATTTAACATATGTATATTTGGGATTACACTTTCTTAGTAAAGTACAGATTCTAGTACTTTTTTTAGTTGAGCACTATGCAAAAAAGTACTAGAATCTGTACTTTACTAAGAAAGTGTAATCCCAAATATAACATATGTTACATTTAACCACTTTCTAAATGGCATTGTGTATTTCAGTACCACTCATTATTGTCCACTCACTGGTCTTGTGGTTTATTGGGAAAAGGTTTAAACGGTCTCTTTCCCTGCCTTTATATGGATAAGTCCCTTGCCATGTGAGCCAGTGGTTGATAGTATGAGCAGAAACCCACACTGGGCTATGATGACTTAGAGTGAGCCACCTGACAGGGGGCTGTGTTAGGTGGGAGCATTTCTACCCTTGAATCATATCCAAAGGTGGTCAGATCTAGTAGGCCAGTTTCTAGTCACATCTTAGTTACAGAGAGTCTGGGAATATCTTCATTATCCAGATATTTGTTAACCAGAGTCCAGCACGGGACCAGGTCCTTATCACAGGTTTAATTTTTCAAATTAAGCCTTGGATAAGTCCCTAATCCTGTTCCACCATTGTGTATGCTACTACTGAGGTGCAAGCAAAATTTGATGAAAATCGGTCGAATAGTTTCTGAAATATTGACTTTTAAGTGAGCATGGGGTCGGTTGGGAAAAGGTAAAATGTCCAACTTATTGTTGTAATTAAGTCTTAATTAATGTAATGGAGTCATCGAGAGTGTTTTCAATGCCGTTTTGCCATAGCGTAACCATCTGCCTAGATGCATGCAAAATTTCACGAAAATAGGTCACATAGTTTAGGAAATAATCACTTTTTAGTGAGCATGGGGTCAGGCTAACAATCCAACGTATTGTCGTACTTGTTATATATTATCGAGGCGAGAGGTGTTTTCAGCCGAATGAAACGCACCTCTCGGCAGTTCCCACGAGCTAACGTGCTACCATCTCGTTAGGACATACTTGTAGCGATGTGTGAGCTGTCTGAAGGTGAATGAAACGCAGGTCTCAGCAGTCATCAACTCGCTACAGTCTCGGGGGTTGCTCTGAGCGAGCGCTGTGGACGACTATAAGTGTGTGCGTGTGTGTCTCGGCTCGGCTATGATGATGCACGGCCGGCTGACTAGCGAGGTGACAGATGTCTGAAGGTGAATGAAACGCCAAGCTGCCGTCTCGGTATCACAGAGCGAGCGCTGTGAGCCAGTCGCAGTGTGTGTGTGTGTGTGTCTTGGCTCGGCTCGGCTTGTACAGCCGGCTGGCTGGCTGGCAACGTTATGTTGATTTCCACTAAATCATACCGCATCTCTCGGCAGTTCCCCCGGGTCGCCTCACTGCCATCTCGGTGGCATTGAGCGAGTGCTGTGAGCTAGTCACAGAGTGTGTGTGTGTGTCTCGCCTCGGCTTGTACAGCCGACCGGCTGGCTGGCTACATTATGTTCATTTCCACTAAATCATACCGCAGCTCTCAGCAGTTCCCCCGGGTCGCCACGCTGCCGTCTCGGTAGCACCGAGCGAACGCTGTGGGAGAGTCGCAGTGAGTGAGTGAGTGAGTGAGTGAGTGAGTGAGTGAGTGAGTGAGTGAGTGAGTGAGTGAGTGAGTGAGTGAGTGAGTGAGTGAGTGAGTGAGTGAGTGAGTGAGTGAGTGAGTGAGTGAGTGAGTGAGTGAGTGTGTGTGTGTGTGTCTGTCTGTCTGTCTGTCTGTCCTCAGCTTGTACAGCCGACCGGCTGGCTGGCTGGTTACGTTAAGTTGATTTCTGCAAAATCATACCGCAGCTCTCGGCAGTTCCCCCGGGTCACCTCGCTGCCGTAGGTTGTGTTGGGAATTGGTTTAAATCTCATAATTGATGATTGGTTCATTACAACCGATTAATCATCGAAAATAATTGGTTAGCATCATTTATCAAATTTTCCTGGTTATGTTTGTTAATGCACAAAATTTAAAGAAAAAACTATGTAGTTCTTTCGTTTTCTTTGCAAATTGCACAAAATGCATTTGCAAATTTCACATCTTTAAAGGATGACTAGCATGTTAGGAACATGAATTTCATGGAGTCTTTAAAATAAATTCAATCATGAATTAGAAGAGCTTCAAACGGTGCTAATGAAATCTAACAGACAAAACCAACCTTGGGAAAAATATTGTTATTGCAAAAAAGTGTTCCAAAATTGATTATGAGAAAAACATGATCGATTGCTTGGTCGTTTTGTCATTGCGACCAATCTTCAATTATTTCAATTAATCGGACCACCACTACGTCTCGGTAGCATTGAGCAAGCGCTGTGGGCGAGTCGCAGTGTGTGTGTCTCGGCTCGGCTATTAACCTACAGCTCGCTGAGCTGGCTGGCCGGCTGCCTATGTTATGTTGATGTCTACGAAACAGTTTATTGTAAATCTCCTATGATTTGTTTGGTTTTCGTAATGAAGGCTTGTCGGGCCTGTTGCTTCCCTTGTTCTATGAAAAAATAATTCTCGTCTTCCCAAATGATGGACTTTTTACGAGACTTGGTCCGAATCTCTTTTTTAATTCTGTGATATTTTGCGATTTCTGATAGCACCAAACAATCTCTTCTTCGGAGATTTAAGAGTCAGTGAGGACGGTGGAAATATGATCGTCTATCGTGTTTAATTTCGCTTCAGCTAGAATTCAAATTTCGTCGTGTTTTAATGCTTTAGGTTACAGTCTGCGAGATACGAACTTAAGGGTCAATCCCATCAACCCTATCACATCGGCTGTTATTTCGACGCCTAGCACCACGGGTGTGGCCACAATGGTGGATAATAACCCGATACCTGCCTAATCCCATGCTGACTGAAAACGAAACCAGTCTACGGTTTCCAGTGTCTTTGCTACTTTATCCACAACTGGGTACAGTTCCATCCTGTGTGTGTATACATATTTTTATAAAATAATATTTAATTGGTTTTCCGTCAATCTTTGATGAATATATTTTAAACTGATGAAATACAAGTGCTCGGATAAAAAAATGGTCCGGAGTAAAATGAGAGGCTGCTGAAAAACCATCACCCCCTTGAGGCTTGTGGTGGGGACTGAGTTCCCGATTGTATATAAATACGACAACGGTTATTTCTATGGCGATCATGCCAGCGTATTTTTAACCCCAACAGAATGCTCACATCTTTTCCGGGGGCATCTCCAAGAAAGACTTCCATAATAAGTGTATAAATGTCACAATACGGACGAAAGCTAGATCCTTTCCGAAGATCGAGAGAGCCGCTCAGTGTCAAAATCGTGCGTCAGTCGGTGACCATCACCAACAATCCGAGCACCATCGATCAAAACCAAATACTGCAGGTCTGATTCCCTAACCTGGGTGCGAACGACGTCATCGTCCCCGGCACTACTCGACTGGCTTTTCAGATCACTTTGGAATCCCCGAACGACAAACGCACGATCTTGCGCAACCTGGATCACGCCATCGTCAAGAAAACCACCATCAAAATCAGCGGGAATGAGGTGCTGAGCATCGACTACAGCGACATGTTTTTCACTTACATGGACCTCTGGAGAACCGAGAACGAACACGATAACATGTTGTATCAAGTACTTTGTTGGGATAACTGCCATGCGAAAGACATACGTGTGGGAAGAGCTTACACGCAAGACAAGCTCGATGGGAAACCGGCAGGGGACAAAGCCGTTGCCGAGGCGTACGGGAACCGGTTTTGCATACTGCTCGACTTCGAGCTTCTCGAGGGACACATGCCATTTTACCAGGCCACGCTGGGCGACCGACTGTAATACGAACTCACGTTCAACGACTACAGCAAAGTTATATTCACACCAAACGTCACCGAGGCCAGCTACGTCGTCGACAACACCTCGTTGGATTTCGACATGGTCACGAGCCCGGGCCCCGGCAGATTCGCACCCAGTACTGTAAATTATGAAGTTAATGTGAAAAATGCGTCTGTACTCTTCTCGCATTATAATTGATATCCATTGAACTTATTCATCGGCAAATTATGTAACAATAGTGGAAGTGCTGACACTACACATTACACTAATACAGGTCACTTCCTCATTACAGGTACCTCAAGCCACATGTAATTATCACTGGTTGCAATCACTGGTCATTGTTTAAAGTCACTCAAGCACATCAGCCAGACCAGACATTCTCCAGCCACTTGTTTGTTGTACCTTGGTAGATGACTTGCGTCTTTCACGTCGGATTACGTTTATACATGTTGTCATAAGACAAGAAGCAGCAAACAATTGCGTGATCAAACATGACAGCGTAATCAAAACATCATCAGCTCATTTCCATTCATTGCTTAACAAGCTCAATTCAGGTTCTTTGGTAAATAACAAGTGTGAAAAGAAAATGAACAACATCCAAGATTCAGGGTGTCACATTTCATCATCAACAGAGATTCCTGAGCTCGCATTAATTTCGTGACGCTTTTTAGACTAGACCCTCGCATTAAATTCGTGACGCATTAATTTCATGATTTACAGTACTCGGGAAAGCTGTTCACCCTGCACGATCACGTGCTGCGGAACCGGACGATCGTCAAGGACAAGAGCGACACGATGTGGAACATCAACCTGAACGTGCTGGCTTGATCGATAAAAGGCATCTTGATCATTCCCGTGGTGGAATACGAG